AAAAAAAGAAAAAAAAATTGGTTCTGATTTAATTGCAAGATGAAGCAAGAAGTAAAACCAGAGAGTAAATAAAACCAGAAATCTCAAATCACAGTTGTAAGGAGTCTAAATGGACAAAACAGTGATGACCTTCCTTTAACAAGTGGCATAATCACAACCTAATGGAGAAGTACTTGGTGGTGACATTTTTTCCTTAATTTCTTTTCCTATTTTTGCTGTTGCTCAGCACTGTACAGAGAATAAATACACTGGTGAGTTCTTTATGATCAATTTCCAAAGAGACAGATTCCACCTCTACTATTGAGACTTCCCTGCAATGTCTCCTGGACCACTTTCAAAGCTAATTTGTTCAGAAGATTTTCCACAAATTTCTCTAGCACTATAAACTCTGTTTAAACTACCATGTTTATAAAGCCACCCACTCATCTAATTGGTAACAAGATTAAGGTTTAGGTTACTAAAGCAGAGTTGCCTGATTTATGAGCCTTTCTGAAAACTGCTGTAGCCACATTTGAGAAATGACTTGCTATTAGCCAAACCTTGCCCAAAAACAGGGAGGAAGAAAATGCAAATTCTATTTTTCAGTAGGAGTCTTGCTAGCTTAGTTATTTTTAGCTAATTATACTAATTACTTTAGTTAATGAGACTTTCTAGACCATCTTTCTAGTATTGGTACAATCTGAAAAAAGCTGTAGGGAATTAAACCAGAAGCATTATTCAGTACACTGTTAAAAAAACTGTTTACACATCCTCTAGAAAATGTTCTAGGCATTCAATACCTGCAGGGAAAAGGGAGAGGAGAAGAGACACCTATGGCTTATGTTGCTATAGCTACCAGATGCTTAGATTTCCAGTTTCAGTGAATGAATCAATAGAAACCACAGCCTCACTCTGCTCTTTTTTTCACCAAAGGAAAAACTGGAAGATGGGTTGCTAAGCAACACCAAAGACTGCAGGTCTTTGAAATCAGCATTACTGACTCCCCGCCATCCCAGGAGCCTCCTCCATTCAAAACCATTTATTAAGAAAGGAGCTAAAGAAACCCAAGCTACTAGGACATGCATTTTTAAAATAAGAAATCATAAAAGCAGAAGGAAAGCTGAAATTGACGCTTTCAATTAGTTGGAGCAATGAAACAAAGTCATTCCTTGAGCCCAGAAATTAAAAAAAAAAACCAACAAAAAACCCCCAAAAAACAGTAAGGACAGGAAAACTGAAACCAGCTTATATAAGCCAAAAAGGAAAGGTGATTTATTCCTTCTGGGGATACTGTATTAAAGCAACGTTTTCTCTAAAGGACTACTTATAGCCACCATTAACAAAAATAAAAAAAGAAAATTAAATCCAAAGATGTGCCTCATTTGCACTCTTAAAGACCTCATCTACAAAAAGATGCTAGTGGCTAGGTAGCAAGATGGCTAATGGGAATTCAGAAATCTCTTACCTGCATGGTGTAAGTATAAAACCCTTCACCAAAAGTCAGCCATGAAAGCTCAAAGTCTAAGCTCAATTTCTATCAACTAACTTCTGTAACTTACCATTGTCATGACCTAATCTGTTACCCATCTTATGAAAGGGTAGTGTCTATCTCATGCTCATAATAAAACCAAAATAAAGTGAACGTCAATGCTGATTAATCTTGTCTTTTTTTGAAAACATCTTGCGTGTATTGATATAAACCCACCTATTTTTATTCTAAATTTCAGCTAAATGTCATTCCAGTGCTCCTGAGGAAGCAAAACCACATTGATCCTGTATGACTAGGGCTGTGCACAAAGAAATGCTGTGTTTTTTCTAGAAACTGTCTTGATAAGGCCTAGGTATTTACTCTTTCAGCAGTGGGGAAAAAAAAAAACACTAAAACAGCATAGTTTAATAATTCATAGTGTACTCACTACCACAATCCAGCTCCCTTACAGTTCCCTCCAGCCTCAGTATTTTCCAGATCCTTCCATGTTCCTCATTCAACTCCCATGCTCTAGTCTCTTAAACTTCTCTCTCAGAGCTCTAACATGCTGCACAACTTACAGGCAAAAAAACAGGGAGTCTGTGCTGTGCTTGGTACAGTTACGTACACACTCATTGCCAGTGCTTAAACAGAGGGATAAGGCTAGAGCGTGAGTTTCAAGGCTCCCTAGGTAAAGCAAGGCCACTTATTTGGGTCTTTTCTCAATTCTAACATTCACACAAATCTCCTGGGTTATAGCCCTTGTATGCATCTATTAATTTTAGTTTAGCTGACCAACAGCTCAGAAAGCACTGGAATGCAGAGCCTGGAAACCACCAGTAGGTAGCATCATTGCGGAAGTGAGGCATATCAATCTATTTAGGAAACAAGGCTATAAAATTACCCAAGATACAGCACCTTGTTACTGACAAGCAAAATTAGATATAACTGTAATTAGGCTCCCTTTTGTAGCTTTAACGTTGACTTGTCATAAAAAAAAGAAACCCCAAAATCAAGTGAAAAGTAATTTACACAATGTCAACATGAAAAACTGAAATTACCTAAGGAGGAAATTGAAATTCATTCAGAAACTTAATCATTAGCATTAAGTATTCTCTTTTTATGCCAAAACATGATTTTTCTAGTCAAATACATAGAAGATCAAGTGCTATTTGAAAACCAAATACAGCCGCATGAACAGATGTTTTTGTCAGGCATCTGATTTTTTCAGAAATTCTGCACCACCAAAAATAACCAGACTATTCTTCTCATTCATTCATGACATGCTACTGCTCCCTTAAAGATCCACAGGTATATTCTGTATGTGAAGCAAGAGCATAATCCCCTGTAATGAATGAAGACCTTGGGCCCACTGTAGGAGAGGATCTGGTTCAAGAGCACCTTAAGAACCTGAACATGCACAAGTCCATGGGACCTGATGAAATCCATCTGCAGGTCCTGAAACAGCTGGTGAATGAAGTTGCTAAGCCACTGTCCATCATATTTGAAAGATCATGGCAGTCAGGTGAAGTTCCCAACAACTGGAAAAGGGGAAATATAACCCCCATTTTCAAGAAGGGGAAAATGGATGACCTGGGGAATTAGAGACCAGTCAGTCTCACCTCTGTGCCTGGCGAAATCTTGGAGCAGATTCTCCTGGAAGGCACGCTAAGGCACATGAAAAACAACAAGGTGCTTGGTGACAGCCAGCATGGCTTCACTAAGGGGAAATCCTGCCTGACCAATTTGGTGGCCTTCTATGATGGGGCTACAGAACTGATGAACAAGGGTAGAGCAGTTGACGCCATCTACCTGGACTTGTGCAAAGCGTTCGACACTGTCCCACACCACATCCTTGTCTCTAAACTGAGAGAGACATCAAATTGATAGCTGGGCCACTCGGTGGATAAAGAATTGGCTGGATGGCTGCATGCAAAGAGTTGTGACCAATGGCTCAATGTCCGGCTGGAGACCAGTAACGAGTGGTGTCCCTCAGAGATCGGTGTTGGGACCGGTCTTGTTCAACATCTTTGTCGCTGACATGGACAGTGGGATTGAGTGCGCCCTCAGCAAGTTTGCCGATGACACCAAGCTGTGTGGTTCGGTTGGCACACTGGAGGGAAGGAATGCCATCCAGAGGGACCTCGACACGCTTGTGAGGTGGGCTGATGCCAACCTCATGAAGTTTAACCATGCCAAATGCAAGGTCCTACACCTGGGTCAGAGCAATCCCAGCCACAGCTACAGGTTGGGCAGAGAAGAGATTCAGAGCAGCCCTGCAGAGAAGGACTTGGGGGTATTTGTCAATGAGGTACTTAACACATGTGTGCTTGCAGCCCAGAAAGCCAACTGTACCCTGGGCTGCACCAAAACGAGCGTGACCCGCAGGTCGAAGGAGGCGATCGTGCCTCTCTACTCTGCTCTCGTGAGACCTCACTTGGAGTACTGTGTGGAGTTCTGGTGTCCTCAACATAAAAAGGACATGGAACTGTTGGAACAAGTCCAGAAGAGGGCCACGAGGATGATCAGCGGACTGGAGCACCTCCCATATGAAGACAGGCTGAGAAAATTGGGGCTGTTCAGCCTGGAGAAGAGAAGGCTGTGTGAAGACCCCATTGCAGCCTTCCAGTATCTGAAGGGGGCTGCAAGGATGGTGGGGAGGGTCTCTCCATTAGGGACTGTAGTGACAGGACAAGGGCTAATGGGTTCAAACTTAAAGAGGGGAAGTTTAGACTGGATAGTAGGAGGAAGGTTTTTACTGCTAGGCTAGTGAGGCACTGGAATGGGTAGCCTAAGGAAGCTGCAAATGCTCCATCCCTGGCGGTGTTCAGGGCCAGGCTGGACAGAACCTTGGGTGACATAGCTTAGTGGGAGGTGTCCCTGTCCATGGCAGGGGGGTTGGAACTTGATGATCTTAAGGTCCTTTCCAACCCTAACTATTCTATGATTCTGTGATTCTATGTAATCAAAATGATTTCTCCAGAGAGGTGTTTCATATGGTTTAAACAAAATGAGTGCTAACTTCTGCACATAACTGTACTGTCTACACATACAATGTTGAAAGACTAAACACTCCAAATTAAAGATTTAAAACATTTCTCTTTATGGAATAGATAGCCTCATTAGAAATGAAATTCTGTGTAAGACTTGCATGATCTATAAAAGCCTTTACTGAATATTTACATACAATCTTTATTTTAAATATTAGATGTTCATTAAAAATGTAAGTTTCATTAAGAACAATGCATATAACTGGTTTTTTCAAGATTAAAAAATAAATTGTTCTTATAATACATGAAAAATAAGCCCTTATACTTAAGAAATACACTTGCAGTAAGATTATACTATAATTATCAATAAATGTTTTACATAAACTGATATCCAGCACCTTAACAATGCACCTGCATTAGACAGAACTCAGAACAATAACTTATCCTATTTCAAACAGACAAAGAGCAGTTATATGCTTTAAAACATTTTTCCGAATGCTGGATGACACTTTACACAGCACACATGTATTTATTTTCATTCAGGAGGGACCACTGCTTACAATTTCTGTCAGGGCTACAGATTTTTCCTGGAAATCACCCAGATCTCTACTGTAATTAAGTTAATCATATTCACAATGCTTTTGTGCAGATACAGTCTCTGTCACTGCAGTATTTTATTCATAGTTCCTGAAGTCAGATTAAACAAATCCATAAATCATAAAAAAAAAAGAAATAACTCATGTTCTTAGTGATGCGCAGGCCTTGTCAAGAATTTCCTTTCTGATCTTTGGATAGTTTGGATGTACTCCAAGGACCTGTCAAAAGACAAAACAACCAAAAAGTTCTGTGTCTAAAAGGAAAGAATACTGCCTGGTTATCCCACTCATAACTGAGCTTACACATTTTAAAATTAAAATAACAGTGTAACAAGTTTGTCTTAAGAATCCATAAACAACTGTAGCTAGAGACTCCCGTGCATGGAGGTCAAGAACAGCTTTATCAAAAATGCCTTGCTTTCCTTTCACACTGCCCTGTCACTTCGGTGTGAAAGACATGAACCAAGGGAATAAAGCCTCCGGGTGGCTTGAAATGCATGTATTCAGAACAGTGACCTCTGGAGACATTTCCAAGGTTTTAAGTACACTTTCTCTGAAAAAAACTGCTCTCATGTTTTCACTCCCTCAGGTTCTTTCACTATATTCTATCCACTTCATCTTCTTGTTCTTCAATTCCCTCCTCTCCCTTATTCTTCTATCCAATTTGTCCTTTCTAGTTATCTTCATTCCCCCACCCCCCGCAAAGAGCAAATATAGTTTATTTTGTTACTAATGCTAATAATTATTAATCCAGAATGTAATAGTAACCCTTCCTCTTACTATGCATCTGCTCTATTTATGTTTGTACCATACGAAGATAATACTGGAAGACACTTTCTAACAGCATCTTCTGATGTTAACATTTGATTAACACCTTCAGCTATAATTCTGTATGGATTTACCAAGTTGCAAGCAGAGGGCCAAAAGAAGGTGCTACCATTTGAATATGCTATTGCATATGATCCAGCCGCTTTATCTTTTATTTACCTGGTGGTCAGGGAGTTCAGGGTCAAGCAGATTACATAGAAGATATTTAATTTAATCCAACTTAACGAATTAGGTGGTTTTTTTTGACATTGTCATATATTTTGGAAACTTAAACTCAACAAAATAAGGACCAATATATAAAAGAGTGTTGTTACAGTAGAGAGAGTATCAAGTATATACACAAATTCTACCTTATGACAAATATCAATTGCATCAACATATCTCTTTCCTTTCAGGTAATTGAAAGCCAGCTTGTATCCTGTAAGTAAAAAGAGGGAAATACAAGGGGTGACAATTCTGTGCTGAATAATGAAAAGATCACATCCAAATTATTTTTGGTCACTGTGTGTTTCTGAAGTTAGTATGTTTGTTTTCTATTGTTCTCTCTCCTAAACTTGTAAAGATCAAAATTTCTACTGAAAGTCACTTTAAGTAGTAAGTAAGAGTCCTTTACACACTGATAGCTCTGTTTGAATCAAAAGGAGACATTATTCTGGAGAGCATGTGTTACTACAGACAATGCATAATGGTTGCCCTCTCTCAATTACTATGGTACCCCACAGAGTTTCTCACTGTGACCTATAATACACTGTCTCTCTGCAAAGGCAATTCCGTTATTAAAGGGAAAAAGAAAAAAATAACCAGGGCAGCAATAACAAACTAGAAAATTAAAATGCTATTCTGTTCCACTGTCAGCAGACAGTGGAAAAAAAGTCATACAACTAAGTTGCATAGCAACATGTCAGGCTGATACTTCCAATATAAAAGATACAGCTCAAGCATATCAGGCTGGACAGAGGTCAGGAAAAAATGCAATTTCAAAAACTTGAATCTTTAAGTATTTCATTTATGAACTTATCCTCACTAGCAAGTGATTATGGGGGGATCTGATACCAGTTTATACAGTTTTAACTGACAGATGCAGTTTGTACTGCTTTAGCCATTTTAGTTTTTATGCATGGCATTCTCACAATGCCATATATAAACTAGAAAACAATGTGCATGTAGTACCTTCAATATCACACTCTTATCTTTCTGTATGCAAGACTGTTCCACAGTTTAACTTCACTAAGGCATTCCCCTGTCTAGACACCAAATGATTTTGTAATTTATTCAATTCCTACCTTCTTGGGGGTTTCAAAGCCTTTATATATGTTCTTTATAAACTAAAAAAATACCCAAACCGCACCTTTTTACTGTTAAAACTTCCTCTATCGAATAGATTTGATTTTATCAACAACTGTAATATCTAAACCAAGGCATCCATGTGTCAGTCTACAGGAGCAGGAACAACTAGTAAAATCACTGCATCCAAACTCAAGATATCTAGAGATTTTCCTATATAACCTCAGTCAGATTTCTATTAGTCATTTTTATTACTGAGATCCGAGTCTTTATTCTGCTTTGACACTCCTGATTTTTTGACTCACACTACACAGGGTAACACATTTTGGCAATTCATCCTTGCATATGCATTTTTATATCTTTAACTGCATTATAAAAGCAGGAGCTAAACCACAAAACATTTAGTTACATTAATAAAACACTACTTTCTATATATTATGATCTATACTTATGAACCAAACCACTGCAGCATTCAGGAGTTACAGTTAAAGAAACAAAATGTATACCATTTCAATATACAGAACACTTAACAAGCTTGTTAAAAAAAAAAACAACAAACAAACACTGTTTTCCAGTTCATGCTGAAGGCTATCTCATCCTAATGCTAAGAAAATTACTGGCACAAAAAAAAGATCACAGATTAAAGACTACAAGAAACATGCGTTTCTGAGAAGCCATAAACATAGCCCAAAACCTTGAACAGAATTTTTGTAAACCACCAGCACTGGGACCTACAGACAGACTATAGGTGTTGAATAAGAAAGGGCATTTCATCCTATGAGTCCATTTCTTAAAGGGTTTCCTACATGAAAATAATTCTAAAAACGTGTTATTCAAGTGTAGACTTGAATTAACCATCCTAATTGGAACTGTAATAGTATCCCAAGTTTTCAGTTAACTATCTTTTTTAAAACAGACATATTTAAAAACATTTAAATATTTTATTTTTAAAATCCTTACTCATGCATATAAAACTCATATAAATAATTTGTCTGATTATCAAAATGAAGTAAATAAATTGATGATCTGCCACTATCAGATATATATTGGGTTATATATAAAAGATTCTCTAGTATAGCAGACATTTCATACTGCGTTACTATAAATACATTATTAAAATTTAATGCTGTATTTATAAAGATGTTCACAAAAAGCAAACTAAAACTCTTTCAGACCAAACCTTGCACAAAACCAGAAACTTCTGAAGCATCATAAAGCTGCTACCTCTTGCCATGGGGACTTTCCCAATGACTGCTAACTACACCTTTAAACATCTCTGGGTTTTATGGAAAACCAGCGATACTATATGGAAAATTAAAAGCAGTCTTTCCAGTAAAAGGCAGCTGTTTCATTCTTACTGTAATGCCTGAAATCATGCTTATAGATTATGTATACATACCTATTGTTGGATTCATTTGATTTCCATATTTCCAGGCCATCTCATAATTCATTGCTGCATCCTTATATGCTCGTTCCTTCTCCATTATGTATCCCATGTATTCATAAGCCTTGCAGCATGACTGCAAAATATAAATATTCATTCCAAATTTTATTTAAAAAAGATTACCTACAACAACACTGATTGCTTAAAAACTTCAAATCTGCACAATTGGAAAGCGTAAGTGATACTCGTACTAACTTTGATGACAACAGTCTTGATTTAAGACATCTGTAATACATATCAGTTACATGGAATTATGCACAGTGACTTCCTATGTTACACCAAATCCAGTGCAGAGTTCATCACAGAGGACACTGCAAATATTCCTTCAAAGATGTTTAGAGCCTCCAGGAACCCTGTAGATTCCTCTCTCCGTTAATAATAACCCTACAACAGCCATATTTCAAGTCCAAATTGTATCTTCCGCATATATTGCTTGTTTCATGTTTTCTTAAAAGGGTAATTCCATAGCCTTATATTTGAAAACTGTTTCATATTATAATTTTCCACTTAAAGAGAAGGGAATGCCTGAAAGATATGGATAAAAAAATACTCTCCCTCTCATTTGTGACAAACAAAAAGTACAAAATCAAGAAAAGAAACCCCAATTTCACAGAAACAGTTTGCTCACTGGGATCTCACTAACCAAATTTAAGTCTTTTAAAATGAAACCAAACTCATATAATCAGATACTAGACTTTTATAAAGAAGTTTTCACTCAACCTATTTACTTAAATTGTGCGTGTATATATATCTCCATATCATTCAATTCTGACTGCTAAAAACAATCCTAAAAACTAATTAATCACAATAATGTGTTTTCTCAATCAAATAATATTGTCCACATTGGAGAATAAAATGCAAAATATTGTTTTGTGAATTAACACGATATTTTAAGATATAAAATGTTAAACATATATTCATATAGTACAATTCCTGCTTAGCTCCTTCGCATGCAAGTTGGAAGAAAGGCAGTATTTTCACTGTGCTGTTTTGTTAAGGAACTGGAGTCACTGACTTCTATTTTGCCATCCTCCTTCCTATCAAACACAGCTTGTTTATCTAGGTTCCTCCAGGGACTCAAACTTCTTCGAGGAAAACAAATTCCGTGGTAGGCTGTGTTTTTAGAGCTGCCTGGAAATTCTGCAACAAAGTGTCATTTGTGGTATATACCTGCTCAACAGACCATCTATTTCAAATCTTAGTTTGGGGATGACTCATGTTTATCCTTCAGTAGTATGGATTTTGCAACTTCCCTTGGCAATCTGGATGAGTATGTAACAGATCTTAAGGTAGAGTTTTTTCTTAATTAAAATTCAAAATCATTTTCTGTACAAATGAAATGGAGTAAATCCTATTTTAAGGGGCATCTATGCAGAAGTACCTGACACCATTATATCAAGAACTGTTGTAGCTGCTTCTTAATTTCATATTTAGAAATAAAAAGAGGAAAGGTTCAAAAAAGTCTAGCTCTCAAGGAGGTTGTGAAAATGAGACAGAGTAACAAACCTTATCTTCTATCCTTATGAATTCAAACAAGAAATACACAGAATCAGGTTCTTTCCCAAACCAAATCTGCACACTATAAATACCATCCTGACTCCAGCATAGCATCTATAGAACTACTGGATGTGCCTCATATGAGGGAAAGTGGAGTGTATAGATGAAAAAATGTGATTATGAGAAATCAGCACAAGAGCCGAGATCTGTGTCTGCTCCTACAGTCTCCAAAATTTATATGGCTATATCTTTTGCGAGGCTTAGTAAAGTGCATCTCTGACATTCCATACACACTTTAAGCTTCTAGTGTCCCCACAGCTAAAACTTGCAGAAGTTATTCTAGAATATGAATAAAAATGACAAAGCAGCATTCACAGGTTTGTTCACTATCCTCCAGTGTGAAGCTGTTGTTTCCTGGCTTGTTATGGTCTACTTCTAAGTGAAATACCAGGCAATGGGAAAAAAAAAAATATATTTTGGAATCATGTTTCAGGGGAAAAGTAGCTGAATTAAAATAGGAGGTTACTAAGGTTACTTTAAATGTGCACTTACCCTGTTATGACGAAGGCATAGCTTCAGTAATTCACCTGCTATATTGTATTTTGCTGATTGAATATATATATCTGCAAGCAGAAGCCAACTCTTTTCAAACTCCTCTGCATCAATGGGATTCCAGCTCATTTTTGAAATTCGTTTTAACTGATTTCTGGCTCGTGGAGTCTGTTTCAAGATCATGTAGGCTGTGGCCATTCCCAAAAGTGCTGGTATATGATCCTTCTGCAACAGAAAGCAGTGACTGTTTGGTGCTTTTACTTTGCTTATAAGTTGTTGTGGGTTTTTTTTTTTTTGGTAGGACTTTCACCAGGTATCTGAAAACTAAACTAAAAGCTAAATCTCAGGAAATAAAGATAGAGCATCCAACCTTACAAACATGTTTTCCATCTAGTTCTATGATTATTTCTGTAAGACTAACCATGATAACCACCATGTTAAATATTTAAGATGCTGAAGATAATTTGGGCTCAAAATTATCTTCTCCAGGCTCAAGAAATGTTGAAAGCATCCACAGGTGCTTCATCTCAACAAGAAACATTCTGATATCACTAAGACCTATCCTTTGATACACAATAAAAACTTCAGATAGAAACTCACTTGAACTTACTAGACAAGTGGTATTTTCTACTTTTAGAAGTGCCTGTCAAATGTTAGTAACAGGGACACTGTTTCCTATTATTAGGTCTACGGCTCCTAAAAATGTTAAGTCTAAATTGCCTGCATCCAAAAACTATGTATAACGAACAGGATTTTTAGAAGCCACCATTCCATGCAAGAGCCACAGGTAAGTAGTAAGAAGTACAGGAGCAAGTGAGATTTTTAAAATCCTGCCTTATTAGCATGGGGTATAGATGAGAATGGGGCTTGCATTCCAAAACTATGTCCTAAATGTGGAGAGTAGCTCTATCAGCAGCTAACTTAAAAGCTTCTTTTTCTCTGCCTTCCTGGCTCACTGTTGGATTCTGCATCTACACTTCTTTGTAGGGTTGTACTGTATAATATGCTTGCCATAATGGTTTATATAAAATAAAATGATTAAAAAGACCCCACAAAAAGGCCCTCTTCCACATAATCATCAGGTCATCTCCCCTCTCCCTCAGCAGTCACATCTGGCACAGACCAATAACCTCTGAAATCTGAAAAGATTAAAACTGTGTTTTATGTGACCCTGGAGAGAAAACTAAATAGACTAGAGCATTCTTCTTGCTTGAACTGTGTCACCATGTGAAAAGCATTCAGTATTGAAGGAACCTCAGATCAATACTGAGCAGGACTCAGAAGCCAGTACTGGAGGCAGAAGGACACCTTGTGATTCTCAGAACTGCCTTACACACAAGATAACCATCAGCATGCTCACCTGAGACAAGGAGCAGTTTAGCACCCAGTCAATGGGTAGTAGTAACTTGAGTATTTTTTGGCATTCCTACAGACTAAATATGTCTAAAAGTGCTTAAATAAAATCTGTTGAAAGGTGCTGGTAACAAGAGCATCAATTATTAATCCTAAAGTTAATGAGTACAGCAAACTATGAAATAATGAAGATTTCCATTGTAAGGATGAATTTTAAGCAGATGGATAATCTTGTACTGGAATCTAAATTATGCCAAGTTTACATGAAGTACATGAAGGCATCTTATATTTAATTGTTTCTGGTTACAGAATGAAGGTACTGTATCGATTTATATCATCAGACACAGTGCTGGCAAGACTGGGAATTAAAAAGCAAACCCAGCAACTCAAACCAAGCAGCCTATTCACATTTTAGTAACTGGCAATATTAGCACTGAGTTACAAATTTGCAATCCAATGGAAAACTTCTAAAAGACATTGTTATTTCAGCATGGCTTTTTAAAAAAAAAAGTTATATAAAATATTCTTTAATAAGGAAAAAAAATAATTAGAATGAATTGCACTAACACACCACTACTCCTGAATGTAAACCGCAAGACTGGTTAAAAAAAAACCCTGTATTGTGAAAGAGAAGACTGAGGAAATGATACATGTTACTAACCTCAGCCACTACTATTTCAGTGAAAGTGTTCAGTGCTCGCTCAACATTTGATTTCTCTTTGGTTGCCATGAGACAGTAATTTTCCATGATTCGCAGCTGAATGCGACCCTGAACGGTCTGAGGCTTGAGTTCCTTCAGAAGATTTTCTGCTGTTCTTACAGCCAACTGCACAGACTCCTGCTTCTCTGTTGAATTACTGTTATTGGAAAGAAAGTGTTTGTAAAAGTTTATTTTTTAATATACACTAAATTAATTACAAGTTAGTATTGATTCCATGCTAAAGGCACGCCATTTTGTACAAGACAGTTTTGTTACATAGGCATTCTACATTGATTCTCTTCTGTAACCACAGCAGTTCCAACCTAACAAGCTGGGTTTCACACAGCAAGCGATCAGGATTCCAGACAAAAATCTCTGTTTTCTGCTTGAGACTGACTTATTACAGTCTAGAACGGACTCTCACAATACAGTAGGTAGAATATTTGAAGCATTAGATAAGCTCAAACTTGTAGCAATTTAATTTAAGGCACATTATTAAAGAAAAGCAGAGAAAAGGGATGATGGAAGAACCCAAGCAATATTTATTGCATTCACTTACCCTATGTCAGCATCCAAACTTTCAAAGACTTCACCACCCACAGTTTCATTATCTGGGTTCAAACAAATTTCAATCATGTTGTAGACTGCATTCTGTCCCCAGTCACTGTCCTTTCGAGCTTTATTAAAATGCTGGAGTGCACCATTTGGTTCACCTGTGTACCTACACAATTAATGAAAATATTTAAAGATGGGCAAGCAAAATTTCCTGCCTCAAATCCCACCCAAATCTCACAAAGAATCCCAAGTATTTATAAAACAGTTTACACACTTGCACACACTGATAATGCAAGGCTCAAAAAGCACACATACTATTGCAAGGAGCTTGGTTTTGCAGACAAAAACCAGTCTGATAAAATTTGAAAATAAGTAATATATTATTAACCCAGCAAGAATATCCCTCCCATTTAACAAACAGGAAATATGAAAGATGCATGTGAGACAGATAAGATAGCTTTCAGAAGAGAAGAGACTTGCCTGAAGTCCTAGCACCTTAAATAATTAGGAAAGTAGTGCTATACTACCTACCATTTACTTATCACACTATATATAGATATATCTTTGAATGACAATGGGTAAATGAACCTTATAATTATAATTGCAAGTACCAAAGATATAGCCCTTTGCAGTAGTGAAATCCTGGTTCAAGGTTGGCTCTGGAAGAATGTTTTTCAGCCATTAACAGAAATCTTGGGACTTCTTCTAGTTTCCCAGCTCTTCTTAAGAGATCAATTAATCGTGAGAGAGTTGCATAATTATCTAAATATAAAAATAATTAGGACATTGTGATTCTAGTTATTTGCTATATGAACGGCTTAAGAAATAGAGTCTGCCTTTTCTTCACATACAAAAATTATATATGATGTAATGTATAAGGCATATTACATAGCAACCACAGATACAAGAATGAAGATATCAAGTGATACTTGAGATATTTCTATAAAAACCTTTATAAAGATAATTGTACCTCACTTTCAAAAGCACTCAAACAAAAAGATTTGCTGTGCTCTCACGACTCCTTTCACAAAGTCCTCTAAAAAGGTTCACATTCATTATAGTACTGTTTTAAATAGATTTTAGTAGCTTTCTCTCTGGTCATAATCTGCAAATTACTAAGAGCAACTTTATTATAGGAATTCCAAATTCATATAACAAAGTTTCCTTTATTAATTTGAAATAAAAGGCTAGCTTTGCACTCATTCACTTGTTATCTTAAACACAAGAGCAAGTGCTTCACAGTTACAAGTATATAAAACCCTAGCTATATTTGGCTTGAGGTAAACAATGCACATTATATTGCAGCAAAGTAAATTACTGTATATACAATAAATAGTTTTCTCAGCTTCCCCTAAAATAACTTTGTTTTTACATACAGTAATGGTCTTTGTTTATAGGATCTATTGCATTATAAATAGCATATTTCTTTTTAATCATACAAAATTTCTAGATATTTATTCTTCTATCTCATTAGAACTATGTATCAGAAAGAATTAAAAATATCACTGCTAAATATTCACCTGGCTTGCGTTCTAGGAGCTGCTGGAAATGAAAGACAGCTTGTTCATAATCTTGCTTCCTGAACATGAGATCAGCCATCATCTACAATATGGACCAATTTAGAGAAAACAAACCAAAATATTATCATCATTTATAATGAACTTCAGTTCTGCAAAAGCGGGGAGCTGAAAATACAGCTTTAAAGTGCTGCAGGAATTATGCAAGAAGTAAAATGAGTTGGATTTTTTTATTACTCTCTGGAAAATAAACACTCTGTCTAGATAGAGAGGATAACAGTGAGCAGGTACAGGCTCATATTTAGAATTTTCACTTAAGGTAGAAATCAAAAGAGAATTAAACACTTTGGTGTAGCTTCCAAATATGTTTGGTTTTACTTCTACAGCTTTTCTCTTATTTTCTTATAATAATAAATTCCTTATTATTATGTGTAGATTAAGCACATAGAAAAGCAAAATTAGTTTAAAGTTAGGGAGAAAGAAACATGATAACTACTTCAGCATTGGAAGTAAAACAATTATTTGGTTTTTTTTTTCTCCACTGAAAGGTAGTTAATAAAGAGTAGATTTAATAACAGATACTGAGTGCTATTACCCCTGTTCTTGCACCCTACTGGGTTAAGTTCCAGATGTTAGACTGCTGTAAGAAAATAAATTATTCCCATCTTAAAATCATTTTGCTCCTAATGTATTAAAGCAAAAGTTGCTCAGTCTATTGAGCAGTCTCTTAAGCAGACAAGTATGCAAATCCTGTACAAAGAATCTGCAGCTGTGATTAAAAATGCTTAAGGAGGAATATGATTATCTATGATTGTATAAGAATGTAAAACCACCTTAAGTACACAGTTCTTGTCTTCTGGAAGGTTTTTTTTAGACATTTGCTTTAATATTACTGCACTATTAAGATAGAATAAGGGCTGTGATTGCTAGAAACACACTGAATGATTATCCAGCATAAACAGAAAAACATTTTGTTGCAATGGATTTTTCATGTTTCTTGAAATTAGAAGCTGCAGGCTTTCTTAAAAGTAGCATTTCATGGATCCATCATATTGCAGACACACAAACTTTAAAATTAAACTCCTGATACAGGATTAGTATAATATCACATACCATTGTTGCCGCTTCATTATCTTGGTCGTTCCTCAGTAATAAGGAACAATGATGTTCACAAGCATCAGTATCATCTTGTGCAAGATATAAGCGTGCAAGTTCCAACATCGCCTGTACATTAAAATATTCAACTATAAGTAATTCAAAGATGAAGAAAGCTGGTTCAGTTCTGTATTAACCTGAGGCTTCAGAGCCTCAGGGAAAACTTATTTCTCTTCTAAAGTGAGAGCTTTCTCTGCTGTTCCCTGTGGGCTCTTGGTCAAATAAATTAAATTTCCAGGCTCTCACCTTTAAAACAGATAAAACTTTTCTTCACCAGATGGAAATTCTGGAGGTACATTGAATACAGAGCTGCCCAGACAGAATTGCTCTGAAAACTGTTATTTTGGTAAGAATAATTTTCTTGGAAAAAAATGGAAATGCAAGTAGTTTTCAATTCCCTGACAGAATCAAATACCTCATCAACATTTCCCAATTAGTTTTGGAGCATAAGCAAATTCCAGCAGAAAGCACTTTCTTATTTGCATTTCATTTTCTCATTTGCATTAAGACTGTGTGTGGATCCATTTCTGAAGCAACCTCAGAACAACTATTAACAACCCGAAATGTACGTAAGTACGCATCTTTAAGGGTAAAGTTCCATTGTAGACTATTCTGAATAAATTGCCACGGAAAAGTTTATAAACACAAGAGTTACCACAGATTTAATCAAGTTCCTATTGAAGCAAACTAGAGTTAAACCAATCACAAAGCAAAATTAGCATTAGACAAACAGTAAGCAATGTCTCTCCTGGTTAACTTTACATGGTGTTTTGATTTTGTTTTCAAAAATGAGGCACTTATAATTGCATTGTAATTCTTTCTCTCGTTATACTTGCGAACGGCACTTCTGAATCAAAACATATTTTGAACATCCTATTCAGGATATGAAGGCTACTTTCCTAATATTTAACAACTGTTTTCTTCCTACTTCCTGTTTTTCACATATTCAAACATCTACTATATAACTCAGAAAGGCAGGTGGGTAAGCACTGAAGTGATATGGAGACAGCATGCTGTAAGAATTTGAATTATGAATATTTTCTTCAAGCCACTATTCTTTTGTGCACAACAGTGGAAGACTGAAAACCAGTGTGCTGGTCACGGAACACCTCCTGCCGTAGGCAAGACAAGAACACCAGCTGCACTGGTCTTTTATACTAGATTCTAGTGACTGGAAGTGGTCTCTAAATTTCCAACTCCAACCCAAACAATAATGATAATCTGAAATAATGTCCTTGATGCAGACTGTGATACACTTCGAGTCTGCGATCCACTTCGAGTCTGCATCTGGAAACTGCATTGCCTCTTATCTAGTCAGAGAAATGAGGTATTACCTACCAAATTTAACTATGTAAACCAAAACAACACAACACAACCCAACCCAAAACCCTTATGACGTGGACTACAATCTCTTCACATTTAGCTAACTGACTTTTGTTCAAATCTGGTTTGGTTTACTTTGGCTAGAACGCAGAAGAATTTGTTCTGATGAAATACAGACAGCTTCATAGGAATTTCCAATACTTCCATATACAATTTTAAAGAAAGTAAAGCTCTGTGAAGACATCAAGCAAATCAGTGGGTGTTTAACAGCTCAAATTTATATTTAGTAATCTAAAAGAATTCAATTAAATCCTGTACCAGCAATGTTTTTAAAAATGAAAGGAAGAAAACAAGTTCAACTCTACTGAAACTACAGAAATACAAGGAGATGACAGAGCCTTGGGCAACATGGTCTAGTGTGGAGGTGTCCCTACCCATAGTAGGGGGTTGGAACTGGATGATCTTAAGGTCCTTTCCAACCCAAACCATTCTCTGATTCTGTAATTTAAACTGCTTGTGGGCAACCAAAAGCATTTTGTTTCCAATACTCTAAGCAGGGAGCAAGTTCTTAATCAGAAATTCAGTCCTAGATTTTCTGAGATGTCATTGTATTCTGTGTTGCTAGCAAAGCAGAATTAAAGCCAAGATCACCACTAACTGCATCTAGCAGATATTCAGTACAAATGTCAGTGCACAGCATATCTTTAACAATGGGAATCTCTTAATAGTATGATTTTAGCAAGAATGAAAGGAAGTGCTATACTGGTATTTCAGTACTGATGTGAAAGAAAAAAGTAGATTATAGCTTTGTTACTGTATTAGTGGGATAGCATAGACCAGAAGCCATAGCTGTACCTGTACTATGACAGGCAGTTTCCTCACTTTTTAATGGTAGAAAGGGAAGTCACCTTTCTTTGAAGACTTTAAGGATATTTTTATTCCTGTCCCTATTTATTTTTCTATTTCTTCCTCATTCTCACAAATTGCCTTGAGGAAAGCCTGTCTCAAAGATGGTGAAGTTGTGATTTCAAGAATCTAAGTCCTTCCTAAAGCTACAACACATGAGTCCAAGTATTAAAACCAGCTGATATGATGATAATTTAGCACCTGGTGCATCTGACAGCTATGCAATAAGAAGTAGCAAAATAGGAAGTCGTCACATACACCTAAATATACAACAGACTTATGTTAGAAAATCATGGAAATTTGACAAAAAAAAATTAATATATCTATTTTCATCTAAAAAAAACCCCAGTAAACATTTTGTGACTAAAAAGGGAATCCTACCAAATCCAGATAAAAGTCTAAAGCTTCTAAAGCAGATAAAGAAGAGATAGAAATTGTCTCAACTGACCATAATCACTAATACCTCATTCCAGAGGACAGGCAACAAGCAACACTGAAACAATCTCCATTAACACCGGGCGTACGTTACCTGTCCTCAACTGGTACATGAAGACAAGCCCAATATACATTCTAATAGACAACTCCAAGCACATGCAGACTACCACTTGAATCAGGAGTTTGTAAAAGAGACAGAAATTAGCAGAACATACAATTATTTTATCATGATAAGCAATGCAAGGGAGAAAGTTAAAGGCTCTATGTATATCATAAAGAATAAATAATTGCAAATACACTTCTACACTGTGGATAATTAGAAAAATGTATGGCTAGATATCATAACTGAATGGGAAAACAATGCAAAATAGAGGGAGAACTGACCTTGTTATCGGTTCCACAGTGAACAAGAGCTTCTTTGTAAAATTTAATTGCTTTTTCATAGTTTCGCTGGGCTGTGAAATGTTTTGCAATCTCAGCACAAATTTCAGCCGCTAACTGTTTCTGTGTAGAAACTGCATCCAGCTGCTCTATCTGAGCCCGTTTAAGCACTCTGGCTTGTAATTCCCGAGCCTGGTGTGGGGAAAGGAGTGAACGGTCAAAAATTTTCAAAGGAGTTAATTTTATATTACCTAATTTAAAGTGATTTTATTAAATTTTTTTAAAGGTTCTACAAGCACACTATGTAGTTTACAGATGAACACCCCTGCCCCCCCCCCCCAAATAATAAAGTACACACCACCCCAATCTCTCCCTCAATAACTCGTCTCAAACTGCCTTGCTTCTCCAAAACCCACATTAAAAACACACTGAAAAGCAGCACACTCTTTAACACTTCCAAGATGGAATCCCAGTACGCTTTTTAGAAAACACTCTTTATGACAACTGTATGCTGATCCAGTAATGTACATTCTAAAGGGCAGATTTAGAGAACATAATTTTGAGATAATCATAGATACAGTATTTGTGAAATGTAATGAACAGGACATTAAAGCAAAAAGCTGGGAAGGAATCCAGTTTACCCTTTGTGTACTTGAATCAAAAAGAGGTATGAACAAGCTTATTTAATATTCCATCTAAGGAATATTTAGGCCAAATACATTCAATTGAATAAAGATGACACATTTTTATTGGTCTAAATTTTCTCCATATTTGTGTTCCTTGCATTATTTATAACTAACCTTTTCCTCAATCCAAATTGTTATGTTCCAATTCATAACTTCTAGCAAAGTTGTAATCACAAAAATGCTAGGACATCACTGAACAAATCCTCCTTATTAAAGGGAAAAGCAATGCTTTAGCACACAAACTCTGCAGTTCTGCTTAGAGAAATTTTATCAACTCCATGGGTTCCTGTTAAGAACTTAAGTCTCCAAGCTACACAAAAATATTCAACTGAAGCGTTACATGCCTTTTTCTTCTCTTAAAATTAAGCTTTTGATAAGGTATATATAAAGGATCTCAAACTCAAAAGCCACACCCCAGAGGGTGTATGTACTTAACTGCTTTAAGTACAGAAAGCTCGGGAAAAAAAAAAAAAGCAAGCAAAAAACCCTTCAAATTTCATTTTGAGATCTTTCATCTAGGGAGTGATTAAGAAAAGTCCAGAAGAAGCATGGTTCTGATTATGCCTGACCAGTTTTCTTTGATTTCAACTGCAATTCTAACCAATTAACACACAAGAGATTTCCTCTTTCTGCTCAAGCAGTTTTGCAGCTATCTTAACACTGAAATAAAAACTCAGAAGGCCTGTTTGGCTCATTTAAAAAGTTCACAAGTTGAAGAGAAGGAAGCACTAATATTACTCTGCTGCTTCTCATCCCCCTACCTTTTTGCCTAGCAGGGAAGGAGAATTAAAACACAAAGTAAAATACGGGAGGAACTTCTAACATCACACTGACAACTAAGGGGAAAAACCTCTCCAAGAGGCAGCAATAATACAACCAAGCAGTTAAGTCTTGCTAAAATAATCAAAATGTAGGTGGTTTTGTGTAAATGGATGTGGCAAGAAAAGACTTCAAAAATAACTTGTATAAGGAAGGATAGTTTTGAGGAAACCAACAAAAACAACAAAAGAAAAAAGGGGAGAGAGACAAAACAAAGTTTTTGACGTGTGATATAGTGAGAAACCTGACAGAACTAAAGAAGTAAAGAGTAAGAGAAATAGACTGCCTGGGGGAGATTTACTGTAGGAGAATGTGGGGAAAAACGTTAACTTTGAAAGTACATTATGAGGAAAAGCAAAGAAAGATTTTAACAACAGATTAAATAGCAATTCCAGTAGGATTTTAACTCCTATGTACAATTATCATTCTAACCAATCTACATAATTTAATTTTCTGGCTGGTCAGGAGATGCTACCAAGGCTTACTGTTTCTGTAAGACTGGAGATAAAATGGAAAAGCATGTGCTGACCCAACGTCTTGCTCAACCTTTGTGTTGAGAAAGCGTCTCCTAAATGGATTATCTCTAGCTTCCAACTTAGTTCTCAGTGAATATCACTACTCAGTCTGAGTGGTAATATTCAGCTCCAGAATACTACCACAATAACAAGAACAGGTGTTATTATTGCTTTTTAAAATAAAGAGCAGTACAACAAGATGACAGGTAGCCATTGAAAGCTGTTCTAGATTGTTCTGTGAGTGTTCAATGCAGAGCTAAAGATATGTAACCTAGCTGCTCCCATAGCAATGCTCCACACACAAATAAAGGCATAGTAAAAAAAAATGCAGTAAAAGACTGCATTCTGAGATTTGAATTCAGATAGCATTGCTCACAAACAGCTTAAGACTTTCTAACAACTTATGTTCTTTGCATTTCACAGCAGTCACTAATGCTTTCTTCCCAACATGTATGCATTTTCCTCATTCACAGAAACATGGTTAGGATTTGGGATAAAAGTAAGGACATTGCAAGATTTCATAGGTTTTTTCGTTTTTCCCTTCACCTGTTGTAATGAAACAATGGCTTCATCAATCTTCTCCATTTTGCTGTAAATCTTTGCCAGAAGCACCTGGTAACGTACATCTTCCTCCAGAGAAGATGATTCATGACCTGTAAGAATTACATTAAACATTATTCTTGTAAGAACTGATGATCCTAATAAAGAAAGATGAAGCTCTCCACATACTCTAGGCAACACCCTGTAAAAAATTCACATCTCAATCTTATGTATTTAGGATTGTGATCTGACTTGGTATGTTGTTACTGGCCAGAGTAAATATTACAACCTACAGAGTGAGATTTAAGGCCAAAGACACTGAAATGTTCAAAAGGAACAAAAAAAAAAAATTGACTGTATACTTTACTTGCATTCTCAGAAATATGAGAGACAAGCCTGTGATTTAAATGGACAGGAAATAAATCCTCCTTAAAATCAATGAAAAATATACAAATTGACTCAGTGAGTACACCCAAAAAGCATAACATCAATGAAATTTCTACTCAGACTTTAAGCCACCTTTCTTTTGCTAGAGACTGCAACAGACATGAACAGAAACAGTTATTTTTAACTAAATATTTCAGCATCTCCTAAAAAAGCAGCCATCTACTTTTGAATAATGGTTAAAACATATTCACATAAAATACTATTTGAAGAATACATGCTCTCCTGGGCTTATATTGATTTTAATATATTGACAAAGTGGGATCTTGAGCACAGGCCCACATTAAAACATAAAAGTCACAAAAATACATGCTTTATTTTTCTTAAAACAAATAAATAAATAAAATCATATTGAGCTATATACTCTATTAGCAAACAGTCTTCAAAGTGCTGTAATTGTGACATGCTATTCTAAATCAGATTACGCCATGTAGCCAACCATGTAAGATAATTCCCTCCAGTACTTCTCCTGCATTTCATTTTTCTTTCAGAAATGAAGGATATTTCAACATTTCTTAAAAAAAAAATCCCACAAAAAAAACCCTAAAATATTAAACTTCAATAATTTTCCCAATCAGCCAATGAGTTATATATTTTTTTTTTATATAGAGAACGTGTGTACATCAAAGACATACAAAAAAGGATATTGGCTTACATACTTTTTTGCTTCCTTGTAAGATGGAAGAGAAGATTTTAAAGTACACAGGACAAATGTATTTAGTGCTAATTTATCTTTCCACACCAGAAGATCAAGCTGCCTTGAACATGATTATTAAATTAACCAGAGCCTCAAAGGCTTAACTAAGGCAGGAATATAACATTAAATCAGAAGATTTTTTCAGTAAGTAGTAAACAAGACAGAAAACCAACTCTCCCCTGCACAGTATGAAAGGCCAGTAAAAGAGTGACATAAGAAAAATTTACAGAAGGGACTAGGAATAAGACTTAATCATACTAACTATTTCTGTATTCAGATAGCCACAAAAGTTAACAAGTGTAATTCAGCCATTGAAAAGATTTCCTTAATTAAGGGTATAGCTTGACAGCTCACATTAAAACTTCTTAATTGCCTTTTAACAAAAACAAGGAAAAAAATCCCCAAGTTTTAGCTTTGTAAGTGCATATTCCTAATATAAAAGTAGGGTAAAAGAGGTTCCTAAAAGGCATCTTCAACCATTTTTATCTCTTTTCTCTGAAAGACACTGGGTAGTATTAATTACTTAAACAACTACTTCTTAACAGTAGGAATGACTCATCTACACTCAATTCAGAATCACATTTGTCAGCACAGAACAGAAAGAACTTTATATGTGTGCAGCTCTGCCATCGTATTTACTTACTCCATCTACCAGAGATGTTGCATCTTTAAAAGTCCTGGCACAAGCACCTTTAAAGGTAAGTGAAGTTTATTTTAAGTGAAAAATGAGAAATGCACTCTAACAGTTTTCTGTGGTTTTAACAAGAAAAAACAAACCAAACCACAAAAGTTTGTATGGAACTTGTTTACTCCTTGGAATCATGCAGAAAACAAACAATAGAAACTATGTTTTGTTGCAAATTAATAACATTCCTACCAGGCTCACGATCTAAAGCTTGCTGAAGTACTCTTTCTGCCTTTTCATACTGCTTCAGTTTCATTAAAAGCTCAGCCAAATCATAGCGAAGGAATTTCTGTTGACCATTTCTCAATGCAGCCTCATAGTAACTGATTGCCTAACGGGAAGAAATAAAAATCTGACTGTTATTTAAAGATAAATTTTAAAGGCAACAACTTTTCTACTTAAGTATGTAGTGACATGCTGCTTAAGAGTTTTCTTTCTTTTCTTTCTTCGCTGCTCTTGCAACCAAGTCATTTTTAATAAATACTATATTAAAAAGAACAAATATTATTTAAATGCAAGTTCAGGCTTCCAAAAAGGTAATACCAAATTAAAGATGAATAGAATAACTAGAGCCCACATTTTGATAACAGGCATGCATTTACATGGCCTAACCACATTATCACGTTCTATCTTTGACAGGATCACTGGCAATTAAATTACATTTTTAGTAGCTGCTGAAGTTGCATAATTCCAGGCAAATTGGAGTTACAAAGTTCTGTTTTACTGCATACAAAGGACAAATATTTTCCCAAAGTCTACCTGAAATACATGATGATATAAGAAGTTACGAAAAGTTTAAAAATATCAACGAAGCATAATCTAATAGGAAGGAATTTTTCTCTTCATTTCTAAACATAAAAACTGGCAATCATATCAGTTTAAAAAAGTCAAATATTTACTCAAGAAAAAACAAAAGCAATGTTCTGGATTAATAAACTATTGTTCCATAAGTTTTAAAAATATCCACTTCAATATAATAACTCAAATAGTCTTGGAATAGGATGTTACTTTTCTAAGTAAAAAAAAAAATAAAACAAGAACTGCTACATGCTGAAAAGGTACATTTCCAAAACGAAACTGAAATAGTTATTAATTTTTGTTGTTTTAAAAGAGAAAACATTTAAACATGCATAATAATGCACACATCAGGCAGGTTACTTATTTAGACTTAAGCATCCTAAGGATGACACAGCTGAACCCTCAGAATAAAAACAACTAAAATCCATGAAATACCCACCACCATATAGACTAAGTTTTTCTACAGCAGCTCTAGGAATTGTCACAGTGCATTAGGTTATTACATACACAAAAAAGGTTTGAAGTATCACGGAGCAAGACAGGAATCATATAGTGAGCTGCCTGTAGTACTGACCTGAAGAGAAGCAAGGCAAAATTCTAACATTGCAAATACAAAACACAATTTGGACACACCCTCCAGTAGTTTGAAGTTGCCCAAATAAAATTATTTGTTCCTCCAAGTTTCCCCCAAACATTTTCTTCTGGTTTTCCTACAATAAGAAGCTAAAGCCTTTATCAGTACTCTCCTAGCCAACATTAAGGCTAGGAGATGTAATAAATCTGGGTCAACGAAGAAATAATTAAACATGGATTTGAGTGCACTTAATCACATAAACTGTAAGTCACCAGACCTACAATTCACCAGATTTGTATCCACCAACGTACAGCTGTGCACTTTGCCAGATACTTTGAAGAGGACCTACAAACTTACTTTCAGAACAAAAAAGACTTTTCAGTGCTTTAAAGGCTTCCTTCTATTCAACCTGACAACAGCACAATTGTAGTTAAGTAATTACATTATGCATACACAAGAGCCAGCTTATACATCACAAATACAAAAATTATATATATATAGAGTCCCTGGAATAACACTCTGAAACTTTCACATTCAATATGATAAGAAATCGGTAGCAGGATTTCTATGCAACATACCTCCCCAGTCACTCCTTGGCAACTTGTTTGTTCACTGGCCTTACGGAAAAAAAAGTAGTAATCTATCAAATAAGACATTCCCAGAAGATGGATAACCTTTGGGTTTACTCCACAGAGCTAAAACCATGTTTCTCCTTCAACACCATCCTGACAACTGTAATAAAGATGCAACTTTAAACAAGTCAGATGATGGCATATTAGTACAGTGCTTGAAAGACTCTCTGCAGTATCACTTACCTACACTGGTAATACACAGATTCAAATCAGTATTAAGCCTGACAAGAAGTGATGATGGGAACTAGCAGTCCTGTCCTAAATCCAAGGTAGAAAATAATTTTCGAAGAATCATATAATGGTTTGGGATGGAAGGGACATTAAAGATGATCTAGTTCCAACCCCCATAAGCAGGGTCACCCTTCACTAGATCAGGTTGCTCAAATCACCATCCAACCTGGCCTTGAACACTTCTAGGGATGAGGCATCAACTTTTCGGGGTAACCTGTTCCAGTATCTCACCACCACCACAATAAGGAATTTCTGCCTCATACCTAATCTAAATCTTCTCTTTCAGTTTAAAACCATCACCTCTTATCACTGCACTCCCTGGTAAAGAGACCCTAATGATCTTTCCTGCAGGTCCCGTTTTAGTACCAGAAGGCTGCTGTCCAGTCTCGCCAGGGCCTTCTCCACGCTGAACAATCAGACTCTCACCCTTTCTTCACAGACAAGGTGCTGCAGCCCCCTGATCATCTTCGTGTTCCTCCTAACTTATTCCAGGCTCAATAAAGATAGAGATGCCGTTATTTGAAATAAGTTCAATAAGTAGAGTGGGAGATTGCACTAAGAATCTATGAAAGTGATACTGCTGAAACAAAACACAGAGACATTTCTCGTACTTTGTCTCCCAGGCACTTTCTGTACCCATTTACAGTTTCCTATTTCAATACAAGTGACTAGAAAAAAAGAGCAGACACTGAAAGTTAGGAACTTGGCACTGATTTCTCTGCAACTAACAATCCATGTCAAAGCCACTTGTACAGAACATACATGCCAGCTTGGGATGATAGTGGCTTCCTCCAAAAAAGAATTAAGAAACACTCAGCTTCTTTCACAGCACATATGCAGAAGAATACTGCAAGCACAAAACAGTTTGTCTTTTGCAACATGAAGACTATTCAAGAACATTGTATTAAATGACTCAGTGAGATGTAAACAAAACCTAAGAGACCCAAGTTCAAGATGCCTGTATGTAAGCACTAAGGTACAATCACACCATTTCTCCAGCATTACAGCCCTGCTTGCTTCCTTCCCAGGCTGTTCCAAAATGCCTTCTTCCTTTCCCTGTACTGTGAAGGGTCACAGAGGGCTGAACAGGTATTTCAAAGGGGATCTACAAACATATGTTCAGGATAAAAAGTCTGTTAGGCACTTAAAAATGAAATGCTGCTACTACCCAAACTGTAAACAAAATCAGGCAAAGCCCACATGTTCACAATAATGGACACAGTATTTAACTAGCCTAATATAGTACTTATAGAATACCTTAGAATAGCTATGTGTTTTGATTAGTGCTTTTCCAATTTTACTTGCTAAAGCTGGATCTTTTGGATTTTTCTTCAAGGCCTGCTCGTAGACTTCTATGGCTTCATCAGGCTTCAGACAGTAAAAAAATAGAAACACAGAAGTCAAAGATTAACACAAAAAATGTCTGAACAAAACAAAATCTGGTAACAATTCCAGGAATGACTGCCAAGTACTACTGATTCATAAGCTACATACTTCTGAGAGAAGAATGGTCACTATAAAATTGCTGGAAGTGTAAAGCCCATGTAAACTTACATTTCCATGCCAAAACAGAATGCGGAGATGACTTTGCAAACAAACAAGCCTGATTTAACCTGATCCTTTTTTCACTGAAATTTCTCTACTACTGTTTCACTAGTTAACAAACTTATGCAGACTTATTACTGTGCTGGACAATCATCCATTTCTCTCCTCTAGCCATGTTACAGCAGACCTAAACGATTTCCCTTTTGCTTCTTAATTCTTCATTAAGGAGACAAATGTACACAAACATTAATAAGTAACCATTAATGATGTACAATTCCCCAAACTAGTAATCTGAACTATGAGATATGTGTTCTAACCCAATATATTCTTTCAACATCTGAATTTAAATGTGTATTCTTCCAAATCCTAGGTCCACTTGACTACACCGTCTTCTAAAAATACTGAGTCGTATTTCAAATTCATCAAAAAAGCAAAGGATATAAAAAAATGTACAGGAATTCAGTAATTTAAAATTTAAAAATAGAACTAAGTTACCTAGAATTATTCTAAACTTCAAAACTCTTTTAAACATCTTCAACTTCTTTCTGAATTTAATTTAGCTCTTGCTTTTAATTTCTGTTAGTCTTATGGGTCAGTAATCTTCTAGATAAAACTCCCACCTTGGCTTTCACCCAGTCAGTTATTAGAAGAAATGCATTTTCAACTGCTTTTTCTTTGAACTCAACAGTTACATTTGTAGCCAGTAATTACAGGGGTTTTTCACATCCTAAAGCAGTTTCTGTTTGCCAATTACCAATCAATAAGTCAACATGTTACATTGCCTCAACTTGCCAAAGTCAACAAATGACTCATATCATTCTATTCATCTCTAGCAGGCACTTACCTCTTGAATATTCATGTACGCATCACCAAGAAGAAGGAAAGTATAAGCACTTGGCAATTTTTCTACTAGGTCTCTGGAAACAGAAGACAGAATTTTGCTCAGAATTTAACATGTCAATGCTGGTATCTAAACAACAATAAATAGGGCACAACAATTTTCTATTCTGCAAATTTTAGTTTTTATTTCTGAAAATAAAACAAACAAAAAAATCTGAAGTATCTTTCCAAACCAGGACTCCCAGATACTGTTTTAAATGCTACAACACTAACTCAAATGAATTCATTATGTCACTACATATTACTAACTTATTACAGTAGGAAGAGAAAAAAAAAATGAGCTCACCATGCTACCATAAAACACCTTGGAAAATATATACACACACACCGCAAACTTTTACCTGTAGCAACCAGCATATAACCTCTTATCTTTCCTATGCTGAAGATAAATATCTGCCATTTTTTCTTTAGCTTGTACAAAGTAAGGCTGTTCAGGTGTAATATTTCGGAGCATAGTCAAGGCTTGTTCAACATCTCCTTGAGCAATTGCCAGATCTGCATTTGCAATCACAACTCTTAGTTCCTCAGAAGTTCCAGAAAATTCATTAATGGCTTCTTGCAGTACTATAACTGCTTCATGCTGCAAATAATAAAACCAATAGAATTGATGTATTTCCTGTTGTTAAACAGCCAAAAGTAAAGACATCATAAGCAAATAAATGTCTGGGGGTATTATAAAGACCAACAGAAAAAAAACCTCACAAAAAACCCCAAGCCATAGGATCCATTTGTTTTGCTAAAACATTTAATTCTCTTTCCTCTTGATTTTTTTAAATAAAACATATCTGGTATGAACCACCAGAGAAAGTTTTAGTAAAGAAAATAACGTCTGCATTGCATATATATAAGGAGATGCCCAAAACTAATCTGGATAATGCCTTTAGTACCTCCTTCCTGCTTGAGCAGAATGACCTCCAGAGGTCTCTTCCAACTACATGATTGTGCATAGCTTCTCTTATATTCTTATACCTATGTAGTGTTCTACTGTTCATTAAGAGAGTAAGAATGGTGCTACAGAAAGATCGTGATCCAAAAATATTTCTAATACCAGTCAAACAAAACAGGAATCTACATTCCAGCAGATGACCACCAACAGCATCTCCTCCTCAAAATTAAAAAAGGTCTTGTAGACTAAACATTTAACACCTGCAAGTCAGGTTACTTTTTTTCTCTGTACAACTTCAGGTACAAGCTGTCAAGTCAGATATTAACACCTTTGGATTTCACCAAGCAAATCTTCTGATAAAAAAAAAATTTGGTTTTCTATTCTGAACTAATATGAAGATAGACACTTCTGTTAACGGGAAGAAGAAATTGTTTTCAGGTAGGTATTACATCTTAGTAAGTTTGCTATCTTACCGGTTCTCCATTTAAACGATGAACTTCTACTAACTCCAGGAAGACGGACACACGATCACTTGTGTCAATTTCAATTCTTTTCCCTTTAGTTTTTGAGGAAGCTGCAGATTTTCTCATTCCAGGCAAATTCTTTGCCATCTGTAAAGTCTTAATAGCCTCTGATAATTCTCCCATCTTCTTCTGGGTTTGGGCCTTAATTAAGTGATAAACAGGATGTTCTCTCACCTAAAATATATAATGAGATAAGGAGTTGCACAGTATTCAAACCCTTTGAAAGAAGATTTTTTTTTATAGTGACCTTAGTTCCTTCTTTCCCCCAAATATATCTGATTTCAACTTCGGTAATTTACTTATGAAAACACCAGAATTTTCAAAGAGTATGCAAACTAGTAATTAAGTAAATTAATTCCTACACCCCCAAGTCATCCTTCTCAGGGTTGTTTAGTTCTGTTTAAAAATTATTATATGCAAAAACATACAACTTCAGGTGACTGAATAAAATTGTTTCATTCTCTTGTCAAACTCACCTCGAAGCTGTAGCTCAGACAAAGTTCCAAGGATTGAGAACATAGCTTAGTGTTGTTTTGAGCCAAGTACACCTGGGCCATCAGTAAGTGTGCATCTGCATAGGAAGGATTCCTTTCAAGACAGTAACGTAGATTACTATGGGCTGCTTCAATATCCCCTAGGAAGTCAAAAAGGGAAAGTGAAAAAAAAAACCAGTTTATATGAAATGCACAGGTTAAATAGGGAGCACTTATTTTTTTAATGTGAGCATTTTGTGAAGAAGCTCATATGCCAAGTATTATGTGGCTATGAAATGAAACCAAAAGCAAATCAAAGGTAGGACGCTTTCCTATTGTTCCATCTCAATAAGTGATTTTTTTGGAAGCAATAGATTTAAAAATACCATATTTATGTCTTTGTACAATTAAGATGCCCTCATACAAATCACAAAAAAAGGCAGTACGAATGTTTTTCACTGAGCTGTAATGCACTACTGTGCAGTGAAAGAAAAAATTCATTACGATTTAAAAGCATGAAATCAATTTTTTGTATTAAAGAAACTAAAGAGGTGGATAGTTATCCATTCACATAACTATTACCTGACAAGTATTTTACTTTTGCAATTAAAAAGACAGCTTGGTGAAGACCAGGCACAGTTTTTACCACAGTTTCAAGAACAGAAGCACAGTGTTTGAGAAGCGGCGAAGGAGACTGCCCAGGACTTGCAGGCTAAGGGTAAAAAAAAAAAACAACAAACAAATAAAATCAACCACACAACAAACAAAACACACACAAAAATCCCCAAACCAAAACAAACAAACAAAAAAAACAAACCAACAAACCCAACCCCAAAAAACAACACTTCAGTGACTGGTTTTGGACTTGTCTTTTATTTCAAGTCTGAGCTTCATTTTAAACTCAAATGGGTCACACCAAAGCACTTTGACTTTATTAAGCCCTAAAATCTAAAAGCTGTCATTGTGAAGGAACATAAAAATACGTTTTAAATTTAAGGGGGCAACTTCTGGGTATAAGCAGGAACATAAGAGAGCCTCATGAACTTCAAGGATGATGTAACGCTTCAGATCTGACATAAGCTGAAGATTCAGCTCATAAACGTTTGGTGACATACTCTGAAATACCCTGCCAACTCATCCAACACAATGGTGACATGAACTAAATTTCAAGAGAAGTTGGAATGAATGACCACAAGGATGAGAAGAAAAGGTTCTGGTCCTGTCCCTCCTACCCTCATTCCACACCACAGAACATATCCATACTGCTAGCAACAAACTGAAAACAGCAGCTGAGAAATAGCACCTTTCCCGTAAACTGCTAGTACAATGTACCACATTTTAGCTGCTCATTATCAGAAACATTGTTCATTTCCCCCCACTACTTTAGCTAGTTGCTAACTGTTACATATAAAAAAGGAAAAGGCAGCCTAAAGATCCTTCTGTTCACAGCTTACATTTCCACAGGACTGATGCCCCGGAGAAGCAGCAATCATCCACTATGAAACTGGGAGCTTCCACCACTTGGCTCCTGGCTGAACGCCTGACTTTCTAATACCACAAACCTCTTTTTGCAATGAAGAGATAAGAAAACTTCAGGAAAAGCCTACCTCTTCTTTTCCAGTTTGTTTTTTTTTTTCCTATGAACAACAGTTCAGGAAAAAAGTTTTCATTCCAAATTAAACACCATCTTTGCCACTAAGTACTTATGGAATACACCCCAGGCAAATCTTCAGACAAGACACTACCTCACTGAATGACACTTCTTATGTATGTCCATCTGTGACATGAAATTGCCTTTGTTACTGATGTTTTAGACTTACAAACATTACCATTACATTATAGATGGTGGTATAACAATAGAAAACTATTTGTCCGCCTGTTAAGATTTTTAAAACTGCACATGAATAAATATTTACAGGAAGGTTCTATAGTTAGACCAGAAATCTGCTAATGACAGGATAACAAAAGTCAGTTCCCACCTATTTCAGAAGAATAATCTATTTCAGGAAGACGTTATTTTAAAGAAACTTTAACTGTGTTTCTTCTGCTTTAGCAGTATCAGGTGCCCATTAAATTTCTTAGTTCTACATGCATTTGTTGCCAAAACTAGCACAAGCAAATTCAGACACAAAAAATTAGCCATCTAAGTAATATCTTTCTTTGGAATTACTAATAACAATGATGATACAACAAGTAGCACTTCACTGAATTTTACCAACACAAAAAAGAAGCTGAAATGAAGAAAGAACATAGGTATACTAAAAAAAAATACCCTGAGCTGACAAAAATATTTCAATAGGATCACCAGTGTGAACATCCTACGTTCATATTGAGATAGCTCTGCTCACTGTACTGTTAGTTTCCTGATCAAGAGATACGAAAAAGTATAAATGCACATACCGTGCACTAAACAAATATTCCAGTTTCCACAGGTATCATTATTCCAACTTAATTCACAGAAGATACGTTTTCATAGATATTCTGATTAAACATATGTATTAAGAAAAATTTATTCACAATTTAACAGGGAAAATTTTCTAAATTTTTGCTTCATGATCTCAAAAAAAAATCCAAGAATAATTTCCATTTTCAGGCAAATGTCATCTACAGCTGCTTACCTGTGCTGGGCAAAAATTAAGATACTCCTTAATGATTTCTAGCAAGAAATCAGGGTTTAGTTTTTCCAAATATTCCACACCAAGAGGAAAACCACACAGAGATGAAAAGTGAGTGTCCAGAACATCATTCAGTAAGGCAATAACTTCTTCTTGTCTCTTCTGCTTTTTCATTGCTAGGACTGCACACAAGAAAGATAATTCCTACAGGTAAAAAAGGAATAAAACATTCTCCATAATCCAGATACATGCATCTGTTACTCATACAACAGTATATAATTACTAATGTTAGCCATATCTTCTTTACATTTAGGGACACTGTAAGACATTTAGTAAGTTCACTGTAAATTACATTTATGATTATCATATCGATGTATTCCTTTAATTTCTGCTAGAAGCTCTAAATGCTTCCAAGCCCAAAATCCTGATGATAATTAATATCCCTCCCTTCCTGGCATTTCAAACTTCAGAAAAGTTTGCACTGCAGGAAGGCAATAATGTTTTTGCTCTATAAGGAAACAGCCTTGTGTTGCAAAGCTAGACAACACATGAACTTAGATAGACAGCACAAAAAAATGAAACTTGGATTTAATGGTACTCCATGCTCTGCTCAAGTGACTGAAATACAGAAGTAGCTAGTAGACCAGAATACAGATTGTAATCAAAGTATTTTAATGAAAGAAGATGTCTCTTACCCCAGATTTCCCAATGGACTGTTGAATTTCATTAAGAAACTCCAGCTGCTGCTCTACATCTTCTAACTGTCCTTGTATTAGCTGACAACGGATAATTCCTGTAATACATTCAAACATTTTATTGTAGATTTGCCTCCTAGTCAAGCACACGCTTTGTTTTCCAGAATTAATGGAATTCACTTCCACAAACCACTCCCACCCTCTAAATTTTTTATACAGTTTAAGGTGATGCCATAGTCAGGTAGAAAACTGCATGGGGGTGGTGGGGAAGAAGAGGGAAATCTGTGAAGCAACTCTGCCATATTTACTCTCCATTGTCTTGAGAGCAATTAAACTTTATCAAAAGTAATTTATTTTTTTCCAAAGAATGCAATAGGCACACAAACAGTATCAGATATTTTGATTATATTTTTTCAATCTAATTTGGACACCTATGGAGAGCTTGTTCTATCAACTGCCCTTGATTTATTTTTGTAGTGCCTAAGAATTCTCTTGTTCTCAGGTTCTACAGAAATAAGATAATTTAAAAAAAAAATAAATAGAGCCACATCTCTGTCCTTAGCATTACTTTGAGAGTTCTAATTTAAAAGTTTCACTTTCCAAAAGGAAGACCAAGACACATATCCAGTGAGGAGAAACTGCTGCTACAAGGAGACTGCATAACATGAATCAGGAAGTAACTGCCCAACGATCCCACTCTAATAGTTCTAGATTTTCTTAGCAGCAGTAGTAGGAAAACTTGATCAGAAAAAAAAAGTATTGCCTATGCCTTAAGACCAGTAAAAAACAAAAGAAAAGTGTAAGACCTTACCAGTTAGCGCAGGAACGCTTGTTTCATCAAGTCTCATAGCAGTCTTGTACCATTTTAAAGCTTCTTTCACTTTTCCTTGTAAAATCATTTGGTAGCCAAGCTCAGTAGCAAATTCTGCATTGTCAGGTGCCAGATCAAATGCTCTTTCAACTAAGGTTTGTGTATGTTGAAGGATGAGCTGGTCCCGGCCACACTAATGTTAAGAATAATCTTTAAACCTTCAGTTTTCCTCATTTTTCAGATTTACTTAGATAAATACACTGACTATTGCTGTAGCAGTTAAGACAACAACATCTTGTACACAACTAACATAATCTTTAGTAGCTGTAAAAATTATGACATTGAAGCATGTTAGATTCCAACATAAATCTACAGTACTACACAGTAAGGAAGAGTTGACAGTTACTTTGAATGCCTTCTTAAAACAGTTCTGATAAATACAAAGATTAAAGAAACCTTCCACTTCAAGGGTATGTGATTAACCTTGTCACTTTCCTATGCTAAGAATATGGTCGGTAGACATTTGAGTGTATTTTCATTGGAATCTTGTTTCTTATTTAAAAGCAAGCAGTAAAAACTTTTTTTTGAATGAGATGGCTTAAGTGTGGTAATTCGTACTGAATGGAAAACTTAAAAAACATAGTTACCAAAGGCTACATAAGGATATCTATTTAAACTGTCTGCAGTATTCTACTTTTTGATAGACATTTAACAACTGCCTACCAGAAGATAAAACAAAAAACAGAATGTATGGATAGCAGTATGATGCTTAAGAAAAAGGCATACTCACTGTTCTACTGAAAGCTAAAGCCATTTTACAGAAGAGCTCCGAATTATGTGGTTCTAATCTGTCCAGGGCTTTAATTAGGTCTCTCAGTCTTGCTGAAGCCTTAGAGAAAAAAAGGAGTAACGTAACAAGTAACAGAAAGAACCAACAGATTAGGACAATTGAACAGCTTTCACTACAAAGTAGTCACATACTTTACTATTCAGTAACATCTTGAAATATAAACTTGGAATTTTTCAGGGGTAGCAGTTAGGTTTCTTTTGGAAGTCTTAAAAAAATACTGAATCACGTTAAAATCTCATCAGTTTTTTTAATGTTTTCCTAGACACGGGTCTTAACCACATGTGACATTTTACCCCAGAATCTTTTGTTTACACACTACCATGTTCAGCAATTTTCATTCCTAGGTGGCTTTAATGAATTGAAGTCTGCAATTGTTAGTTTCTCCACATTTCCCATGACTGTGCAGAGGCAATACTTAAATTTGATTTTAAATACACTAGAGAGTTCTTTGCAATAACTAAAAATACGTTATACAACCTAAAACACTTTTTCCTCTTATTACTTAAAAGTAAACCTACAAAACACCACAAGCACTTTACTTTTTTGCCAAGTCTCCACTTAGATTATACCACCATTTTTGCATAATGGAAAAGATATATTTTAAAAATATTTAAAAATATATTTTAAAACATACAATGGTTTTTCATGACAACACATTTTAACATTTCCTGAAAAATGGCACAAGCACCATCGGTACAAAACACATGCATATATTCACTGTGCAGAAAAGAGATCTTGGGAGTAGAAGAAAAAGTTAAAGAGAATTCTTAGGGCTAAAAAAACCCACAGTAATTGCCAAAAAAAGGCAAACAAAACACAGGTTATACAACCTAACACAGATAGATGTAAAGTGACTGTGATCCCCTTCCAAAAATTTATAGATACAAAACTCATTACTTCCTTCTTTCAATTAATAAAATACTTCAAATTAATGGACAGCTTATAATAAATAATTTCTCAAATGAGCATTTAAACAATAAAAGTTTGCTTTGATGATTGAAATTAAGGTGATTCAATTAACTGTCCAGAGAATACTTCTCTTTGGTTTGATTCCTGTTGTCTACAAAGATGGAGGTAAAAAATTGTTTCCCTTGGCTTCCAGAACTGCCCCCAGCAATAAGCCAGAGCAACCATTTGAGTCAGAATAGGTGAATATACCTCTTCTGCAGATAAGCAGTAGCACAGGAATGAAGTATGTGAGAAGACAAAGAAAATAGCGTATGTGGCATCTAGTCCCTACAAAGGCTCAGTTATGCTCAGTCTGCTGATTAAAAGACTCACCTCAGATATATTTCCTTCCCTGCACAGATAATGCAGGGCCTCCATTCTTATGGCTTCTAAATTGAGGGCATCTTTCTGCAATAGTCTAAAGCCAAACAAAAGGTGAATTGTAAAGAGACCAAAACAAAACGTTTACTCAATCTTCTGTTTTGCCCTAAAAGGGGAATAAAATAACTTGTATTGCAGTCACTTTAAGTAACAGCTCTCAACTGAAAGCACAGCTTTGTTACTTTATGTCTATCCCTCAGACAACATCTTCTTCCATTCAAAATGGTTTCACACACTGATGCAGTATCCTCACAGAATTGCAAGGCTGAGTTCTAGCAAAACTTAAGCTTTTTTTTTTCTTGATTTCCTAGTTAAAATTAATTGAAAATCAATGGAAACCTACCTACTTTTGTTGCAAAGTGTTCTTACAGTGTAAACATGGCAAGAACATAGATAACAGTGTGCTACTTCATTCTCTACCTATGTGCTGTTTCAACTGTCTGCTCCCAGTCCTGCAAGGCTAGTTGTAGCTTCATTTTCTTTATGAAAGCAGGAATGAAGTTTGGAAAGTTTGCAATTATCTGGTTCACAGTTTCCAGAGCTCCTGAAAAATTCTGACGGACTTCAAAATACTGTGCCTAAAGGAAGGAAGACAAGTCACATCTAAAACCTGTATACTCACACAGGTGAGAAGATTTAGAAGTTCTGATACAGAAAACAGGAAAAAGAGCTAGTGAGAGAAAAACCTGTAAACAATAGTTTTACTTCAGCATCAACCACAACTAGAGATACTTCAACAATCAAATAGCAAGAGATGACATGTAAAACCTAGTGTGCGGTAAGCATTCTATAGCAAAAGGTAATGACAGCATTTGCAAGTAACTAATCATTTCCAAGCAAGAAAAAGAGATGTAGCTGAAGAGTAAGATTGTCTTACTAGTTTTTTTTTTTAATTTACAAGGTATTCCAAATACAAAACCACTTCAGAAGTATCAAGCACCAGTTTTAAATAAAAATCAACTTACAGCTTAAATCCTGTTTTGCTTTGATGCTGTGTGCATGCCATTTTATTTCATATTTTTGATAAAGAAATGGTGCAAATGTAGTAGTTTGAGAGTTAATTTCTTAAGTCATACCAAGCTAGCTGTCTGTCTAAAATCTAATTTCAGTAACTAAATTTGAGATATACTGGTAGTTGAATTCAACAGTCTGCATATAGCCAAGCACACATGATTAACCAAATACCATTGTGCATGCTCTCCTGAACTTTAGTCTTATTTTCATTGAACTACTTTTTCTGTGTTTAACTTTAGAATATTAAACTTTATATTAATAAGTAACAACGTATGTGATATGAACAATTAGTATACTCCAAACCTGACATGTAAAACCTAGTGCAGGGTAAGCATCCTGTAACAAAAAAAAAACAAACCCAAACCAAACAAAAAAATCCAACACCAAAACAAACAAACAAAAAAAAACAAAACCAAGAACAAACAAACAAAAAAAACACCCAAAAAAACACCCAGGAAAATGTGTAAACAAAATGATTCATGCCACTCTCTTAATGAAATATAACCAAAATAAGCAGTTGAAATGGTCCAATGATGATTAAAAAGAACCCAATGTTCATAGATTGGTTTTATTTAAACACTACAGTGTTTTTTTGTCATGGCACACAGCAATTCTGCAATGTTAATAGGTGTCCCATGCAAAAAAGGAAAAGACTACACATACTTTTATATTTTCAGGTGATTTGAAAACTCATTTCTTACACATAAATACATGAATAAAAAGTTTTCTTGTGTACATAGTAAAATCATAACCTCAGTATACATTTAGACAGACTGTATTTAAGATATACCTTTCTTTTTTACATTGGTATCTAATGAACCCTCAAGTATCACCTAAGAGGTAATTTTATTCCAAGGAAAAAAAAAAACCAAAAAAACCCTCTCAAACAAAATCAAAACACTCAGAAACCAAACCAACGGTGGAAACTGTATTTAGTGCAGCCGTATCTCACTGCAGCAATGTTTTATACTACAGAAATGTAATAATACAAGAACACTCCAGAAATTCATAATCATGTATATGGTAACTGACATAGTGTACCATTACCATGTACCAGTAGCATTACCCAGGCATGCCCCTTTGCCTTAATCTGCAAAGTAAGTGAGAAGTCTTACGAACTACAAACTACTTGAAATGGGCTGTCTAATACAGGACACAGAAGCATCAGTATATTTTTATTGTGCTAGTGATCAATTTGTTTGACAACTGTTCTATACTCCTTAAACAATCTTATAAATTGAGTAAAACTTCATTTCTAAGACCTAGTCTTTTTCTCTAAACCAGCGCGTATTTCTGCTTCTTGGACAAGCTCATTTGTGGACAACTTTTCTCAGCATTTCTCTAATCATTCTACGAGACTAACATGACATTTAGTAAGTGTTAAAATCATGATGCACACTTACTTTACCAAGCAGAGCAAAAACATCATTGCCTTCCTGCAGTGCTTCATCAAAATATTTTACAGTTTTTTTAATGTGACTTTCTTTTCCACAGGTGAGATCAAGCCATCCTTTCAAAATCAACCCCTATAAATAAAATATAAATTAGAATTCATCACTAACTAGGTGGTAAAAAAGTATACTTGATACATTAATAAGAATAACGTAAAAATAGGACTTAAATTATCTATAATAAACTATTTAAATATATATTTGAATTATAACTTGTCTACAGCATAACCTAAAATATTAGTAATTCACTACAGCATTAAATTAAACAAATGGTATATTTACTTACAGGATTACAAACAAAAAACAAGGGCACTGAAATAGACTAACATACTCAGCAAACAGAACAAAAACATCACAGAAATGACTCATAAGACACAGTATTTTCTGCAAACACTGCTGCAGAATATTTTCTTAAGATATATGAGACACCAAGAAGCAAATGGGGTGCTGAAAAAGCAGAGGCACCTGTTTTTTTTCTGTTAGTGTCCGATTAAAAAGAAAAACTTGTGTGCGAAGGGCAAAGATCTGACATCTCCCAAATCCCCAACAGCATTATAAATTAGTAAAACAGTATTATAAAAAAACATTATAGTTAGAAATTTTAGAAGCTGAAATGTCTCTTTTCACTGAAGGAATTATTGCCTGTAACTAATGAATTTTATTTCTCTTATGTGTTCCAGACATTTAATGACAGTTTAGGTAAATCTACTCTAAAGTGCTGGATTATTTCACCAAAATATAATTGCCATAAAATATTAAACCAGAAAATACCACTAGCTCTGTTATAACATAAAATTGAAGAAGAGTCATTTATTTAAAATGCAAAGGTTAGCAAAAGAGCCATATTCTGTAACTGCTAACAATCAGGGACAAGATTTTGTTATGCAACAGGAACTGGCTGAAATTGATATATTCAAGTTTTGGTTTTGTTTTTTTTTAAGGAGGTATTTTACTTCTCTATAAGAAGTACATAAAGTATCTTACCTAAGTAAATTGTATATACTAAGCAAACCATAATCCACAGAGTTTAAGTACCCTTAATCTCCTCCCAAAAACCATGCAGTATACATAACTTCATATTGTCAAACTTGGAACAGGGATAAGAATCATAAGTAAACTTGGCAAAATATTTTTTCCTGCATATTTAAATGCCAGTGTATATTTTTACATGTGTGCATGTCCCTCTGTATAAAAAAACCATATACAATATTTCAAATTCATTAAACACCTCTGCTGAAAGCATTTCCTACTAAGCAACATTCCCAAATAATCTTCTGAAAACAAAAACAAGCAAACAAACCCCAACTACTACGACTTTAATAAGCAAGTCATAAATACTGCTGTTTTACAGAAACGGCATACCATTAGTCTTTTTAGAAATAAACATATTAATGCTTTGTGATGTCCTTAATTATTTCTTCATGAGTAAAATTTAAGCAGCAATTAAAAATAGACTACCAATTTTAATTAAAAACAGTGATAATTCAAAAGCTATATTATACCCAATTCATGATTCAGAAATTAACATTTAGAATAGTTAGAGATTTTTAACTCACCTAATATCACATAAACCATAAAACCGCAGATTATACATTGAGCAATGTACTCAACCACACAGAGGAAAAATTCAGAAACAACATTTGTGTTTAAACCTAGTGTCATAAGAGAACAGTTATGCATTCAATTTTAACAGCTCTGCCTCAAAGATGTCTGACAAAGTTTTTTGTCTCCTTGAAGCCGATACATGCTTTAAAACACCCCCAACATTAAGTTTTCACAAACCTCTTCAAAGATTCTAGTGAATTTTGATGCCTGCATACAACTGCAGAAGACATTGCTATATACAACACACTGATTTCAAAATAAATTACATTCAGTAAAACCCCAAGCAAATTCTGCCTTTAGTAACTGCTGAAAATTTAAGTACCCGATCCTTTGGATATTTTTGGACTTCAGATTCAAAACAGATGTGTTCCTCTAGTGAGGCTATCACACTCAGGATTTTTCTAGAAATTATGATGCTCAGTATCAAATAGCAAAATTGGCATAACTATGTATTATTTCCATTGGTCAGTGCAGACCTGTCATTTCTTAAGTGAAAATGAATATTTAGCAGACAAGAGAATAATTATGTTAAGTCTACTTGGCCCTGTCAAATGAATTTATGACATTAAGAAGAACAAGAACACAAAACAGTTAAAGGAAACTTCCAAATAGCATTGGTTTAGTTAAGTCTAACTTCAGAGTACACATGATCCTATTACTATTTTACATAGCAAAAAAAACAGAAGTTACCTCTTTACCACCACCAGAAACTTTTATCATTCTATCAACATATTCACGGGCTTTGTCCTCACGACCAAGATGCCACAAAAATACACCAGCAAAGTACAGAGCCTGCTGTCCTGCTGTTCTACGTTGCTCCTTCAGTTTTGCATCCAATTCTAGAATAGCATCACGATCTGAAAAGGTTTTGTTCACAGCTTAGGTTGATAACATCTCAAAATATTACAAGAGAGCAGCATGTAAGTCAAGAGTTTCCAAAGCAGACCTTGTTTTCTGTATTGTGTATTGATAAACACAGATCCTTGCAATCCAAAATATTAACCAGATACAGAGGTAAAAGACAAAAGAGGATTCCCATCAACATGATAATCTGTGCAAGAATACTGCTACTTGTTAAACCTCAAATCTGCAGATAAGACTTCTTCCAGATAAACAAAAACTTGACAATTAGGTTCACATTTATATCAGTGTCTGTCAAATAAGTAAACAGTTAAATGCAGAGCAGCCCTAAAATGCTGAACATGAGATGATTTAGCTCCAGAATCCCTGGAAAACACATGGTGTGTTTCTTAAAACTAAAACTCATTTTCCCACAACCTCATTGTTACTGTCAGTTGCTCTCATCAGGTTAATCCCACAGAAATTTCATTTTGTATGGGGGGCTTACTGCCAAATATTTTCTTTTACCCACATTAATTTCTGATCCATTTTTAGAAGCCATTAAAATCAAATGTCTGACTCTTGAAATGCATGATAATTTTGCTGCCTTAGAGTATTAATCCTCAGGGACTCAAATAAGACTGATGTCATTAGTCAGAGCTATTTCACATCCATACTGCTTAACAAAATTGTCAGTAACAGTTTTTAATCTGCACAGTCAGGAAGATACCAGGGCAATAGTTTAATGACAACTTGGTTTACCTGATAAACCAACTGTGGTTTTGAGAATATGACTTAGCAAAATAACCTCTGTTTTTAGACCGGGGAAAGGAATATCAGTGTTAACAAAATTCTTTTCTCCCTTTGTAAGGTCAGGGTAACTTGAAAGATAGAAATGGCTTGGATTTAATGACTTCTTAAATTGCAATTATGCTTGTCCTGGGTTCAGCTGTAGCAGTTTTTTTCTTATTCCTAGTAGCTGGTGCAGTGCTGTGGTTTCAACTTTATTCTAAGAAGAGTGCTGTTAATACACCAATGTTTTTAGTTGTTGCTAAGTAATGCTTACTTTGATCAAGGATTTTTCAGTCTCATGCTCTGCCAGGGAGGAGAGCCAGAAGAAGCTGGGAGGAAGCAGAGACAGGACACCTGACCCAAACTAGCCAAAGAGGTAGTCCATACCACAGCACATCATGCCCAGTATATAAACTGGGGGGAGTCACCTAGAAAGCCCAGATCACTGCTCAGGTAGTATCAGTCGGACGGGTGGTGAGCAACTGTATTGTGCATCACTTGTGTTCATTGTTTTATTTTCCTTTTCCCTTTTTAGTTTTATATTCTTTTCCCTTGTTATTTCCCTTATCATTATTATTATTGGTGGTAGCAGTAGTGGATTTGTGTTATACCTTAGTTACTGGACTGTTCTTATCTCAACCAGTGGGAGTTACATTCTTTCGATTCTCTTCCCCATCCCTCTGGGAGCAGGAGGGAAGAAGGGTGGGAGTGAGCAAGCAGCTGCGTGGTTCATAGTTACCAGCTGGGCTTAAACCATGACACTGCTCAAAAGCACCAGTATCAGACAAGAGTGAACAACAGTCACAAGAAGCTTGATTAATTTTTTTTTCTCCCATGAAAGACTTTTCATCAGGTTAGATAAGTCAGATCTTTTATTTTTTTTTTTAGCATTTCATTTTAACATTCACTCTTATCCTTTGCTGTTTTGTTATTTTTGTTTACAATCTTGGTAAGTGTCAATTTAGTACTATATAGTATGTCAAATGCAAAGCTGGAACACACCTTTTTGAATTAGGAAGAATTAGTCTACAACTCCTAGATCTTCGCACAGAGCTGTTTAAAACATGACACAGTACTGTCTTAATGACCATACCTGGCTTAGGGCTCTTCTTATGGGCATAAATCAGAGCCATCATTGTACAAAGTGACACCTCCTGTTTGTTTTTAATAGACTCCAACTGTCGAATGCCCTCTTGGATGTCACCTAGTGAAACAAGCACAGAATAGGCTATAATATTTTTCAAGATAGAGAATATCAACACCAAACATCAATCTCGCTTAAATTTTCCCCTCTATTTTTCTTCTGTATTTTTGATAACAGCTTCTTCCTAACTCCCTTCATTATTCATATAGCCACTTTTACTTCCTGTGCAAGTCTTTCAGACAGACACAAGAAAGAAAAAAGCATCTCCGTGCAGAGAACTTTAAAGGAGTTACATGCTAGTTCTGCCAACTGCCATAAAGATTAAAATCATCTTTATTGTTTGCTTTATACTGGCATTGAGCAGCTCTTCTTGCTCCTGTTTCTTTAGATGGCCAGATATTTTGCCTTGCTCGTGTGAAACTTTTGAACACCAGTAGGTAAGTCAGTATCAGAAAAAACAGAAACTTGTGACTGCAAAGCAAACAAAGTCAGGGAGTTTGGAAACAGATACCTCACCTCAAAACCTTCTAAATCCCTCCTTGCCCTCTGCCACAGCCTTCCCCTACCCCGAGTTACCTTTAGTATTTTACGACAGCCTTGAAATACGGATTTAGCAAAATGAAACTTCTCAAAACAGTTTAACGTACACAAAGACCCTCCCAACAGGCATCAGCTGTAAGCTCCTCTGAGGCAGATGCATAAAACAAAGTTAGATACAGCTGCGTTGAAGGGAAAAGCTCAAACCAGGGTGTGTATGGGGTGTGATCATGAAACACTGGCAACCTTCTCAGCATGGAGAATATTCAAACTCCATGGCATTGATTTCTTTCTGTGTTAGAGACTGAATTTTGCGACGTAAGGAAACCCAGAGTTTGGGAGGGACAGGACACAACAACCAGCTCCCCAGCCCCACATTACCTTCCCTCAGGGCGCCGTAGGCTCGGTAGAAAAGCAACACCGGATCGCTGCCCAGCCGCCCCAGCGCCTCCTCCGCCGCAGCCCGGACGTGGTGGAAGTAGCCTTCTCGGCAGTAATAACTGAGCAGCGCCTGCAGGAGGGGCGGCGGCGGTTCACTCGCGCAAACGCTTCATCTCGGGACGGCAGCAAACCGCGCCGCCTCCGCCAGACTCCACCGCCCCTCCCGCGGATCACCGCCCTCCCACCCGCCAGCCCGGCCGTTGCTCAGTCCCACACCCGCGAAGGGTGCCGGGGCAGGACGCCGCCCACCTGCTGCACCTCCACGTCCATCGTTGCTACGCAGCGCCGCCGTAGTCGCGGGGGAGACCCTTGAAGGGGTGAGGAAGAGCCAGGCAGCACGCTGCCATTGGCTGGTTTAGCAGGAGCGCCCGCTGCCATTGGCTGGTTTAGGAGGAGAGCTCACTGCCATTGGCTTGGAGGGAAATGGGGCGGGAGAGACACGGGAAGAAAAACTGGCGGAAAAGGGCGTCGCGTGCCGGGTGCCTATTGGGCTCTCGGGAGCAAAGCCCCGTGCCATTGGGTGCCAGGCGGAGAGGGCGGGGTTTGAGCACACCTTGGCGGGCGGGCGGTGCCGGTTGCGGGGTGCGGCGCCCCCTGCCGGCGCTGCCGCGCGGTCCCGCCTACTCTCCCTAGGGGTGCTTCCAGCAGCGAGGTCTGTTACTGGCGGGACGCTACGCGGAAAGCCTAGGGAATCGGTTTGTTTTCTTGCTTTTTTTAGCTCGCCATACGACTAAGTGGCGCACACTCCCTGTGTTTTATAATGTATCTTAGCACTGAACACTTCAAACTATGTGAAAACACTTCAAACTCTGTAGAAATGAAATAGCAATGGGGTAAAATCCAACACAAAAAGTTCTCCTATTTCCCCCCCCCCCCCCCCTTCTTCCCTCCTAGGGAATTAGAGTGGGAAAGACTAGGAGAACTCAGGTTTTCCCCCGGAGGTGAAAGCATGCCCAGTCAGCGTTTCTAGACACCAGAAACAACCCAGCGTTGCTAAACAACACTCTTCTTAGAGCGTCTGTGCTGTCTGTCCCACATGAAAACCACCCGTATTGCCGTATAGTACAAGGAGGCAAACCGATCTTGCACTAAATTGGCAGATGAAGCTGTTTCTTCCAGCGGAGAGCACTCAGAGTAAGCTTTCCTAACGAGTCCATCCCACACAGGACTACTGCATTGAATGCTTCTCACTCCCAGTGTCAGGAAGGTGCAAAGACGTAATGCATAATAATATTTGTTTTTTCTTGTTGGCCCAGATGATCGTCAAAATTTCCTGTTGTAAGTGATGCTCTACTTGTTTTGAAGTGACATTTCAGCTTCTGTAACATTGCAAAACTAATACAGGTATGAGAAAAAACTATTTTGCATGGCCGCAACCTGTGATCAGCAGTGAGAGTGGCACAGTTCTCATTTACTTTATTCCCTTGAGAAAAGCTAAGGTTAAAAAGCTGCTCATAGAACGTTAAAAACCATTATTCAGTTTATTACCTTATTTTTGAAGCAGCCTATTCCTTCTGACAGTTTTTTGATAATTAACATATCTTTTAAGGTAATCTTTTAAGACACAGTTTTGTCTGCATCTTAATCTGAAAATACTCATATTTTTATTTTGATACTTATGCATTCCATCAAAGTTTTAGACTTCTTCTTTTTCATATTGCATTTCAGAATAATTTGAAGGAGAAACATTTTCCTGCACCTAAAGAGTCGTGATGAATTTCAGAGATGATGCTATGAAATTTTATTACTGCATTAGCAACTGAACAAGCATATGGAATACAATTGCTCATAAACTGACTTTAGTTCAGTACTAGTTCAGTATTCATCTCTGAGTGTTTTCATTGTAAGTTGTAAGGGAATGCAATATAAAAGCATGTAAGCATATAAGATGAGCATTTAATACATTCACTGAAGCAATTAGTAAAGATAACCGACATGCCCACTTTCTAGCTGTATTTGCATCTTTCCATATAAGTATCCACACATGCTAGCTTTTAGAAATGAACATTCCTGAGGAAAAGAACAGTGGTTGTTCATTCTGACACTGATTCGCCTTTTTTCAGAAATGCACTTGCATATGAGAAGTTCTGTAGCCTATTTGTGAATAGTAACTAGGAAGAATGAACTGGTTCTCATAATCCAAGCTGTGGAATGCCATGTATCTAGTACTATGTTCAATCCTCCTTTTCTTTTCATAAACTCATGAATGCTCTCTTGTCATTCCTGTAAATGCTCAGAGCCTCGTGGGACACACTCAGGACAGCTCTGCTATTTGATGGTTGAGTACCCCACTGGATGGAGCTGTGGCATGAACTCAGTGCAGTGCTATGGATACATGTGGAATCATCATGCTCAGTGTCTAATATATACTGAATTAGAAATTCCTAGTTGAACTAACAAGGAAGTCCCAAAGATTTGCTCACATGGAAGAACAGTTTAGCTGCCTGTAAAGGTTTTCAGTATCCTCTTATTCTGTGGTTTTAGAAGCATACCTTTTTTATATTAATGTCAGATAGTAAAGAAAAAAGGAACATACAATAAAAAAATGTAATCTTTATTATTTTGGCGCATTAATAATGTTCTTTAGCATCAGTTAGGGTAATAGTAGCATCTTCCTGCATGCAGTTCACTAATACAGTATTAGTCAGTAATTTTAATAAAAGTAATCTATATTTAATTTTCCTGTGTAAGAAACATAAAATGTCCTGATGTGTTGGATTATACAATTTTGCTACTTTCTCTGTGTGAAAAAATATTGTGGACCCAAGGTAACATTTAGAACTGTTCTAGTGCAACATGAATCAAAAAGAATCTGTGAGTAAACATGAGAAAAAATTAAGGATTCTGTGAAAGAAAGGTTGTATCTGAAAACTTATAATGCAGGCACTGCTTAGACATTCAATTTGAACTTTACACCATTTCCCCACTGCAAAAAGACAGACTTTAAAAATAAAATTATGAGCTTATTTCACAGAAAGTATTGACATTTGCAAATATTGCAAAAAAAACAAACAAACTACAGCTATCCATTCTTTCATTTATACCTTGTTCTCTGGAGTTCTTCTGTGAAAAAGTGCTATGGACAGAAAGTAACAAAAATGGTGTGACATCAACCTGAAGATAAAATTCTGTTCTCATTTTATGTACATAATGCTGAAAAATAAAATAAAATGATTTTTACAGTATTTATATTTGCTTATAAAATTCTAACATTATTTTCAACAGGTTTAGTAGTTTTCAGTGTCTGTACAGTTTGGCTATACACTATATGCTTCAAAAATGTAAAATAAGCTCCTAATTAGCTGCAAAATATTGCTTAATGGTATGAAGGAACGAGGTCTTGTAGAGTAGTTTATTTCATTTAGCTCTGATGTATGCCTTCCCATAGTTAGGAATCCTGGACAGTCAAAGGAACAGCAGCGTAGGCAATATAAACATGCACTGATAGCATCCAAACTATCTATAATGGCAGATAATACATAATTTTACCTGTTGAATGCTTGTACGCTACACTTAATTGTGGTACATATTTGATGCAATAAATGTGCTAAGGTCATTATCTGTTTGCTCAAACATGCACCACAGGTTAAAAATTACTATTTACACAGCAGAGGGCTTTTCATTAATGTGTACAACATCAATCTTACCGAGAGCTGAAGATGGCTAAACAATACTGCAGGATAAAGCAGGACAACTTTATAAAGGGCTCTTTTAAATCAATTTGAAGGGCTGAGGCAGATTCATTTATTGTTTGTACGCAGAAAGACATTTGGCAAAGACAAAATCTGTGACTTCATACCCAGAAAGAAGTTTGCGCTTTCTGAAACTAAATGGTTTGTGTAAAAACTGATCTGTTTCTACTGTTCTTTTGAGTTAAAGGGGATTTTACAGGCGAACCAAGACTTGTTTGGATATGATACAACATGAATACATTAATTAAGCACCTCAAAATGTATTATTCCTTCCCAGAAACACTGTGCTAAAAAAATCTGTTGTTCTGTGTGACTTAATGTTATTTTCATGCATGATCTATTAAGTGCAGCATGCCTTCATGCAAATCATTTCTGCATCTATACTACTTGTATAATAGAACACCTGGCCCTTGTACCTGTAACAGTGTACTTAATCCCCTTTCCCAACAGAAACCCCATTTACAAAAATAGTCACATATCATAAACAATATATGAATAAAAATAAGATGAATCCACCAACACAGATTTTGTAAAAATACGACGTATGTGGCAGTTGAAATGCAAACAGTGGATACAGTTACCATATTGTTTTATGCTAAACACACAAATACTTGGTTTGCACCCCTTTAACTGGTCCCTACAGTCTGCATAGCCATTTTTTCTCTCCTCTTCAGCAGTGTCAGCTGGTAGTGAGAACAGTAACCTCCTGTCAAGGTTGTTCCCCTATATCACAGTCACAGCCACTGTCTTTTAATAGGCACTGACCTTTAATGTACAGTATATTTGTAAAAATTGTCAGTTTGGCATAGACCTCCAGCAGGAGTCCTGTTGATACGAACACATGATCCTTACAGGGTATGAACTATTTTGCACACAGATGATTTTGCTTGCTATTTACTTTTATTTCTGTCCAGCTTTATCTTCCTTTTCATGCTTTTCTTTGACTTGCCTTGTTACACGGTCATAAGAGGGTGGACAAACTGCTGTTGATGCAGTTACGGTTTTCTCTGTAAATGAGTTTTCATTTAACTTGTCAATGAGGATTTCATCTTTTATGCCCTGACCAGCCCCTCCTTCAGTTTTGTTTTTGTTATAGATAAAGGAAGCTTGTTTTACTGTTCGTTTTAAAAGGTGACGTCTATAAGCCCGCTGGATAATGACAGCAGATACTTCTTCCTGTTTTCTCTTTAATGTGGTTGTAATTGGTTCATAGGAAGCTTTTGAAGGATTGGATGCCATAAACCGATCTTCCATCTGTATTCTGAGGGCATCCATCTCCCCACTTTCCCCCAAAACACGCTTTGTGAAAGCAAACAAGATGTCAAGGCAGTGAATTCTGTCACCACTTACCATGGGCAGATCCATTGCAATAAGCTGGACTTTGTTTGGTTTGGGTAGATGAAGAGGAGGCTCAAGTGCTGCTGCAAAATCAGATAATTTCTCAAATTCCATGAATTGTGTTGCATCGGGATCAAACTTCTCCCAGACTTCATAGAACATCTCAAAGTCATCCTCACTCAAGGGTTCAGCGCTTTCTTCAGTAGCAACACCGAAGTTCTCCAAAATCACAGCAATGTACATGTTCACCACTACCAGAAATGATATGATAATGTAGCTGACAAAGAAGAAAATCCCA